ACCAAGACTCTCATCCCCTCCTAAAATGGTCCTGAAGTGGTTTGTTGGGTGAAATATCAAGAAGTTGTTCTTATTAACTCAAACCAATGCCAGCACGTGCAAAGGAAGACAAGTCCATCATTGCTGCCATGACGGATCAGCTATTCTATCACGTCATTGCTTAGAACATTCCAGTCTCAGATGGTAACGTCAAAACATGTCAGTGTGAGAGCAGACCGGGTAAAATTCTCAGAGCTTATTAAGAAAAACTGAGGGTCGGGAGGACACATACTATCCTAAGTTCCTCATCTTTCAGTGAAAGGAGTCAATGACTAAATTTTAACTTTTGAGGTTGATACTTTTGTAAATAAGATCTTAAGTTTACTTTTAAAAATGTAAAAGTAACGAGTATGAAACAAATTGGAAATCCAAGAGAAGTAAATCCTAAATATTCCAAGGAACTTTCAGACTATATCAAAATACCAAAACAATATCAATTTTTCATAAAAGCTATTGCATACTAAAGGATGATCCAAATTACACCTAATAATTTAGTAAAAATATGCAAATAACAACAGAAAAAGTACAGAGCTCTTTTCCAACCAAGTGGGTTTTTTTTAAACATTTTTTTTATTGATTATGCCATTACAGTTGTTCTATTCCCCCCTCCTTTCCCCTCCACCCTGCATACCCCTCCCCCACCATTCCCCCCCTTTAGTTCATGAACATGTGTCTCAAGTTCTTTAGATTCTGTATTTCCCCTACTATTCTTGCCCTCCCCCTATCTATTTTCTATCTACTGTCTATGCTACTTATTTTCTGTACCTTCTCCCCCCTTCTCCTTCTCCCACTCCCCTGTTGCTAATCCTCCACGTGATCTTCATTTCTGTGGTTCACTCCTGATCTAGCTGTCCTCTTAATTTGCTTTTGTTTTAGGTGTGGTTGTTGATAACTGTGAGTTTGCTGTCCTTTCACTGTTCATCTTTTTTTATCTTCTTTTTCTTAGGTTAAGTCCCTGTAACATTTCATATAATAAGGGCTTGGTGATGATGAACTCCTTGAAGTTGGTCTTATCTGAGAAGCACTTTATCTGTCCCTCCATTCTAAATGAAAATAAGTGTTTAAAAACTGGAAATTAACAAAAGTATATATAAAAATCTCAATCACACTACTCTTTACTCAAAACAGAACGGTTGGAAAATGCTAATGATTCTACATTTTAAAGTCTTTGGGGATTGGCCTAAGATGTACTTACTGCAAAGAAATATTTTACTAGTTATAAGCATGTTCATTAACAAACAAAATAGGTAAGATGAAAAAAGAACAAAACAAACTTTAGATCATTAGAAACTGCTCATTAACTTATTTCAAAATACCAAACAGAGAAACTATTCATACATACAATTCAAAATGAGAAAGAAAATGGAACTACATTAAAAGAGTAAATGAAAAGAATTATGAATATGATTCATAAGTTTCTATGCAAATAAATTTGAAAATTTGGATGGTTAATTTTTTAGCAAAATATAAATAACCCAAAGGGAACCAGGAAGAGGATGGGGTGGAGGAGGAGGAGTACTCCTTAGGAAAGTGCCAAGCTGAGGTAATTTTATCGGAGAGTTCTTTCAAAACTTCAGGGAACACCTAAGCTGACATTTTAAACATCTTTCAGGGAACCGAGGCCAGTGGGAGTTGGCAGCTTGACCTGTACCACACCCGTAAGGGATTGTCAGGGAGTTGGGTTGATAAATCCCAGCAGGATTAAGCGAAGACTAACAAGGTCAGCAGGTTTCCGTTATCTTGGCACAGAGAGGATAGCGCTTGAAGCCCATGAAGTAGAAAAGGGCAGAAGTTCTGCAGGTTTGTCTGGGGATTTACTGTGATTCTATCAGGAAAATATCACTTCACTAAATTCATATATACATTGAAAAGTTGTTAGTTTTATGGCTTTGCTTGTATTATACTTGTAAATTAGTGTTGGCTCTCATAAAAGCGGTAAGCAAAAAGGTTATATTTTGTATTAGGTTTGTATGTATTTAAATCTCTGCAGAGTATAAAAAGGTCAGCGCTGAGATCTGTGAGAATATTTCTTTTCCCTTCAAAGAAGGGAATATATAATTCAATTTCAGAAAGTCTGCTTAGGTTTCTGAGAAAGAAAACAACTCTTTCTTTAGAGTTTGACTTTCTCCTCTTCTTCTACACACTTAGAATGGTAAGTTTAAGGGGGGAAACCAGGGCATAAACAAATGGGAGAGCTGCCAAGGGGGACCTGGGTGGCTTTGTCCAGTCTGTTGGGCCTGTGCAAGAGCCCAAGGAGTCCCTGCAGCTCCACATAGTCTAATCCAGCTCACAAGCAACAAGGCTTCCACATGGGGATTCAGAGGCAAAAAACCTTAGAGTTGTAAAGAAAGTAATTCTGCCCTGTGTCTCTGCTGCACATGGATCTTGAAAAGCTATGGCAGTAGCCCTGGCTGGTGTAGCTCAATCAGCTGGAACATTGTCCCATAACTGAAAGATAGCAGGTTCACTTCTTGGTCAGGGCACATACCTAGGTTGCAGATTCCATTCCCAGGTCTGGGCACCTACGGGAGGCAACCGATCGATGTTTCTCTCTTGAATCAATGTTAATCTCCCTTTCTTTCTCCCTCCCTCCTCCCTCTAAAATCAATAAGCATGTCCTTGGGTGAAGCTTAAAAAACAAACAAACAAGCCTATGGCAAGAGGCAGCTGATCAAGGATTTGGGATTCTGGGTCTAAGCCATCTTTCCCTCTGTACGCAGTGGCCACATCCTGTTTTCCCTCAGGATTAGGCTCCATGCTGGGTAAAGGTTTGGTTCCAGGACCAATGACAGAACCAGAACCAGGTTACTGCAGGCCGTATTTGTGGTCCAACCAAAGGCTGTTCAGAAACTAGGAAGGGGGCAGATTTAGTACATTAGTTGTAGGTCTTATTTTTAATTATTATTTTATTGTATTTTTTCCACTTCCATTTAGTCCCCTTATACCCATCTCCCCCTGCAGTCACCAAACTGTTGTCCGAGTACTAAACCTTTTTGCTCAATCCCTTCAACCCCTTAACCTCCCCCTCCCCCCACTAGCTGTCATCCTGCTCTTTAGGAGTCAGTCTCTATTTTCCTTCTTAGTTTGTTCATTTGATCCCACATATGAGTGAAATCATACGGTATTTGTCTTCTTCTGACTGGCTTATTTCACTTAGCATAATGCTCTCTAGGTTCATCCATGCTGTGACAAAGGGTAAAATTTTCTTCTTTTTCACAAACAAGTGGTATTCCATTGTGTAAATGTCCCATAGTTGTTTTATCCACTCATTACTGATGGACACTTGGGTTGCTTCCATATCTTGGCGATTATAAATAACGCTGCAATGAACACAGGGCTGCTTATGTTCTTTCAAATTAATATTTTGGGTTCCTTTGGATATATTCCCAGGAGTAGGATCACTGGGCCAAAAGTCAGATCAGTTTTTCATTTTTTGAGACCCCCATACTGCTTTCCACAGTGGCTGCACCAGTGTGCATTCCCATATTCAGTACAAGAGGGTTCCCCTTTCTCCACATCCTCTCCCGAACTTGTTGTTTGTTGATTTATTGATGATGGCCATTCTGACAGGTAGGGCTAAGACAGTATCTCATTGTGGTTTTAATTTGCATCTCTCTGATGATTAGTGATGTTGAACATTTTTCCATATGTCTGTATGTCTTCTTTGGAGAAGTGTCTATTCAGGTTGTTTGCCCATTTTTTAATTGTCTTTTTTTTGGTATTGTTTTGCAAGTTCTCTATAAATTTTGGGTATTAACCCCTTATCAAATGTGTCAGTGAATGTTCTCTTATTCTGTGGGTTATCTTTTTATTTTGTTGATGATTTCCTTTGCTGTGCAAATGCTTTTTAGTTTGATGTAGTCCCACCTGCTTTTCTTGTTTCCCTTGCCTGGGGAGATATATCCAGTAAAATATTGCTACAAGCAATGCCCAAGAATTTGCTGCCTATTTTCTTCTAGGGTTTTTATGGTCTAATACTTAAGCCTTTAGTCCATTTTGAACTTATTCTTGTGTGTGATGTAAGAAGGTGGCCTAGTTTCATTCTTCTGCACATCTGTCCAATTTTCCCGATACCATTCATTGCATAAACTATCTTTATTAGCTCATTGTATGTGCTTGCTTCCTCTGATGAATATTAATTGACTACAAAGGTGTGGGTTTATTTCTGGGCTCTCTCTTCTGTCCCACTGATGTAGGTTTCTGTTTTTGTGCCAGTATCATGCTGCTTTGATTAATATGGCCGTATGGCCTGGGTTGGGATTCAATCTAGGAAAGAATAGCCATCACCCTGTAACTTACACTGCAGTTTCATTCTTTAGAATAGGGAAGAAACCTATTTTTTCCACGTGACAATTGTTCTCTACATTAGACTCTTGACTCCACAAGCACCTGAGATGACAGGATATGGCTGCTAAACCAATCACCTTCCAGTTGTTCTCCTCCTAAAACAGTAAGTACTTGAGTGCACCCACCTCAGAACTTCATATTTTAGCACCAATTCTTGATCTGTCTCTGATTAATTGTTAAGTTAACACAAGTAAACCTTACTTTGGGCAACAAATGCTTTCTGAAAAGGAGAGTGAAAAAAAAAAGAAAATCAAGCTCCTTGAAATCTGTTATTTAATATATTCTGTAAGCAGTCCATTTGCAAATAATATTCTAATTTTATCTGTAGTGTGAGATAAACGTTTTGGATGCTTTATTTTCTAAAAGTGAGGTCCTCTTATATATGATTTTCCTTACTTTTTAAATTGTTATAATAATGTTTTTATATTATTCTTCTTATTTCACTACTCTGATGGGAATGCCTATGAAAAGGAAAACAGTTTTGCTATTCTCTGAAGTCAAGATCTACTGAAAGAGAAGTTTTAAAAGCTGTTTGGGTTTCCGCATCACTCCATTTTTTGAAATTAAAAGTACTCCACATCTCACCTCACAGGACAGAGTGGCAACACAAGATATAGGTTTAGTAATTATTTTATTTATAAATTTCCACCAACTCATGCCAGTCATATTATTCTGCATGTCATGGATGATTATTTAATATTTTTAGTGTTCATCTGTATGAAACTTAGGGAAAAGAAGAGATGAATGGACTACATGAAAATGACACCTTAAGGCTCACATCCACAGTGTACCGCTGTTTGTAACCATGCAGGCCTATTAGCTAAAGCTCACTCTTGTTCTGCCAGCACCCAGCTGCATGACTGGCAAGTCATTTGTCTTCTCATTTTAAAATTATCCATCACTTGACTTCTCTGTCTCAGAGTCAGTTGGCTACATGCAAAACATGTTGAAAAATACCATGCACTTGGAGTGTAAAATATTATTACTATAAAGTGCTTTATTATTGGCCTTCCTGTTTTTTAGAATAATACTCACACTTCAGAGTAAAGTCATTGTTTACAAATTGACCCTTTTAAAAGGAATTCATAGGCATTAATCTTACTGACAATCTGGTATGATTCTGAAGCCAGTGTCTCAAATCTTAGGAACCAGATATGATATACAATTATCGTTAAGTTCTAATTAATATCTAAGACAATGAACTGACTCCTTCTTAGTACTCCAAAATATAATAACCCAAGAATAGTAAGGTCAACCTGAGGAGAAAAAAACTCACCATGGCTTAAGTGATTTAAAATACAAGTGATAACTGGCGATTGGGAAGTAATTTCCACCTAACTTGAAGGTTATTTGTACAGAAAACCGCCCAAAGATAATCACTAAAAATTAAGTTCCCTTTGAAATCCTACAGATTAAAACTCCGAGTTTGTTTCTGATAAACTGCATGTTCAGCAAAACATTTCGCATGGACTACGTTCACCTCAAATCGACGTTGCAGCCAAGTGGAACAGTCCTTCAAGTTCTTTAGTCACGTAGCGTTTTAACCACCAGATGTGTATCTCCAGGGCCTCAAAATTCAAGGGACAACTGAGGTGATGTTTATAATGATAAAAAAGTGAAGACTTTGGCACAGAGTAGAACCACCTGATTATTAATATCTGGCAAATTGATCTGTATTTGTGTATTTATGGGGCACAGCTAACCTGGTTACTATAAGGTTTTTGGAACCTTGGATGATAAGAAAAATAACCTGTGAATCTATTTGTTCTTCTCTCCAGCACTGGTCCCCAATGCAATCTCCCTACTCTTACTCTTATGTCAGCTCCTTAGCCCTTTTTAGCCTCTGTGCACTCTAAGTCTTGGACAGAAATGTTTAGTAGTAGTTACATATGCAAAGAGCATTTTTTCTTTGGAAATGTTCTTGGTTTATCAAAGTGAAAAGATGAATATTAACACAGGCTGAAAATGTGAAAACAAGATTGTAAGATCAGCCAATTATGTGGCTACCAATTAGAAAGTATCTTCATCTGACTCAGTGGCATTCTTGGGTTTGGTGAGTCTTTCCAGCTCCTCTCCATCCTAAAAGGAAACATGGAATCAGTAATTAATTAAAACCAAACTAGAAATGTAGTGTTTTTAATGATTACCAAGGTGGAAACTCACTAACAAATCATGGTATTACATTACACTATAGATGTAATCTGGTCAAATGAAACTGAATATATACTGAAGTTCCTGGGGAGTTAATTTCATATGTATAATGAGATCATGACAAATTGAAGTAAACCAGTATAGTACTTGAATTTTGAAGTTGACATGAGCAAAGTAAGGAGCACCCTCTACTGGTCTTAAGGGGAAATGACTAAAGACTGGAGAAAGATACAAAGTAGGCCTTGTTACCTAAATTGATATTCTTATACCTAAAAAGTAGAGCAAGCAGTGTTCTTATACCTAAAAAGTAGAGCAAGCAGTGTACTCAGACCACTGGAAAAGAACACAGGACTTCTGAATCTATACTCTGGCTGAGGTCATGGCATGTGATGCCCAAGAGTCTAATTTTTCCATCTGAAGAATCTGTTGTAACCATTTTGGAGGCATTGTTCAGCTCAGCAAAGCTCTGCCATGAACTCTAATAAAAATAGATTATTTTTTCCAAAAAAATGAAATTTTCATTGCATAAAATATTTCATATTTAGTGTTCATGGAAATTGTAATTTTAAATCTTTTATTTATAACGAATATTTAACTCCTTACTTGAATCTCTAAAAGGTCATTATTAATTTACTAATAACATGACTGACTCTCCTAAAACAAATAAGCAACTGGGAGAATAATGCTTATTCAGAATAGCTGTGTAAGTATTTTCTTTTAGAAAACATTTTTCTCTTGTAAGATCCTTTTGAGAACCACCACCTCAGTGGGTGAGATAAGCAATGCCTGCCTACCTGGCATTGTGGTTTATGAACTACAGGGAAAGTTTAGGAGCCAGGTCAACTTTTTTATGAATGAGGCTTGTTTCCCCAACAACGGTGGAGTGGGAAGAGTAATGAAGTAGGAGTCAGACCTCACGGGTTTAGTGCCAGTTCTTTCGCCTACTGTCACATTTACTCCCTCTGAGTCTGTTTCTTCTCTTGAAAACTCGGGAGACTGGACGAGATAAATACGGTGAGGCACTTTCTAGTTCCCACTCTATCATGTTCACTTACAACCGATGGTTAAGGTCCTTCAGACTGTGATTTATATTTTTTCTGGAACCCTGAAAGCTGTAACATGAGCTCTTACACACATAAGAAGTCCAACATGCGTCTGTTGAATAATTTTTTAAATCACAGACATCTAATACACCCTTCGATAAGTCAGTACTAATCTATTTCTTTTCTTGTGTAGCCATGCTTTGAATTGAGGAAGAACAGGCAAAAAGCGGTATCCTCACAAACTTACCCCACTGGAGCGCTCCCAAAGACGGCCACTTGGCTCTCGGATCCTTTCTTGCCTGGGTTCATGTTCCAGAGCTTGGGACTTGCTGGCATTATAAATAAATATGGCGAGAAGAACTGATGGGGCTTCTAAGAAAAACTCCAGGGAGGGCCTGAAGTCAAAGACTAGGACAGACACTGTTGTGATGATGACAGTGGTCACCTGGGCCATTAAGACATGGAACATGTTATCCAAAAACTTCAGAATAAAAGCCACCGAGAGGCCCTGGAATGCAGTTACAAAAATAAGGGCTACTGAAAATGCATTGTGGCCATAAAAAAACCCACAACTCTTAATCTGATCACGGTTACTGCTCTGAAGACCCAAAGTCAGCCCATTGAAAAGAATGCCAAAGAAATACAGTTTGCTGTTCTGTACGAAGATATTTTCAGTGAACTGGTCCCCCTCCTTCAGTATCTTTTCATTATAGATATTGGCCATTGAAGAAGTAAAACACTGGACTATGATAAGAATGTGGCCCAAGCCAAGGCGGACGTGACTGAAAAATCGGAATGTGGTATTCCACTTAGAGTCAGAAAAAGTCCAGTCCTTTGCTGTGCAATTGTCTTTTCTGGAACACTCACTTGTGAAAAGGCGGCAGGAATTGGATGGGCTGAAGAAGGCATCGTGATGAAATCCATGTCCTGCTAGGTTATGCTGTGAAGTGTCAGTCCCAGCAGTGAGGGCCACAATGGACAGAAACAGAATCAGGAGGGAAGCCCACTGTATCCAGTTTAGGTGCCTCCTGTTCAAAGATGAAAAGCAGGATTTTACTACTCACTTTCCTTCCCTCCCATGGCAACTGTTTATCCTGAAAACTCAGTTGAGGACTTGGTTGAACGAGCCGTAGCCAGTTTTTGCTAGGATTCCCCATAATTTAAGCTTGTGTCTCTGCTTCTTAAACTTGATATTTTTATTCATTTTTATAATAAGTGTCCCTTATGACCATTTAGTCATTTCACCTCATTGTAAGTTTCCTTTGATCTTGTAGGTTTAACTAAACCTCCTTTCTATCTTCAAAGCTGATCTTGAGCCTTTGGCACAAATTTTTTTATTCCACTATAAAGTAATTATAGCAGAGACATTCAACTTAGTTTTCACAAAACAGAATGTGATGAATTTATGAAACCTTGCAGTGTGTGCCAAGTCTTCTATGTAGGTGAACCCTCAGCCTGCTCCCCAACCCCAGGGGACCCTTCAAAGCTCTGTCAAATTTCAAAGGTATTCACAACCCAAAAAAGATGTAAGGAAGCTGTCTCCCAGATCTGTGACCATTAATCATAAAGTGTTTTATAGCAAACTACTATTTGATAAGGCAAGAGAAAAATATTTTTAGTATTGAGTTACACAAAGTCCTCACAATGCTTTATTTTGCCTAGCAACAAACTGGTGAGATACAGAAGACATGCATGATTGTGATCCTGTTTTGTGCACTCACTCACTCAGACAGACATTGACTAAGCAGCTTCTATGTACCAGGCACCCTGGGAAGACAAGGGCTGGATGTCCAGCCTTGAGGTAACACTTTAATAGGGAAAGAGCCATGAAACTAAATGACGGCACTAAGATGTGTGACAAGTGATACACAAAACAACTGGCGTACACTGAGGAAGGAACACGTGGGTCTGTGAGGCAGCCAGGTATTGCTGACTTCAAAGAAAGGGCACTTGAGCAGAAAGGTGAACAATACACTGGAGTCTGCTGTGTGAACAGGGAACTGGTGATGTATCCAGGCAGAAGGAAGAGTCTAAGCAAAGCCAACAGGAATGTACAGTGTTGGCTAAGAGGAGTAGCTGCCTCAGGATGGGGTAGACAGGAAGGCCTCTAGGGGAACAACATCTTCAAGTTTGAAGATGGATTAGTAGGTGACACCAGAGTGGGGGAAAAAGAGAGTAACATAAGCAAAGACAGAAGTGTAACATAACAGATAAGTAGCAGTTACAAGAACTGTGGAGCATTTGAGCACCAACTGTGGTTCGAGCAATTCCTGTTCTAGAGGAAACGTTCTGAGAGGTTAACTGACTTCCTTAGAGTAATGTATTTATGAAGAGGAAGGGGTCTAAGCCTTGGTTTCGCATGTCTTCCTTCTGGACCAACGCGCCTCATAAGTACAGTAATTCTGAGTTCTCAAGATGTATACATAAATAGGAACGAGTGTCTGGTTTCACTGATGCTTCCACAGAGCTTCATGCCATACAGCTGCTAAGTGCACTGAGCAGCCTGAACAGCAGCACATCTGTGCACACAAACATGTCTTTTCGTGCATATACTCTCAAATAACCAGATCTAGGACTTAGTGACGGGCTAGTGCAGACACTGTGAACGAGCCACTACACTTCTGAAGGTGTAGCTGGTATGCATTAAGTGGTAGAAAGCAAATCAAGTGGAAACAGAAAATACAGGTTGGAAAGTGAAGGCCCAGTTTATAAAAATCATTATAACCAATTATTGTATATCAAGACAAATGAGGCAACGATCTACAGTTTCTTTAGAAGTTTTCCACTATTACTGACACTGAATGTAAAGACACAGACCCTTGAACAAGCTAAACAGTACTTAACTGCAAGTAATACTCATTCAAAGTTGTTCTTGGGAACATAAAAATGATGAACGATTAGGCTAGAAATAGATTTCCAGCACAGGAAATAAAGCTTGATAAGTAGTCAGCTGAGCATCTGCACTCTTATAAACGATGACTGTACAGGGAAGAGTTTGTTCCTCAGGTTAGTGCAGGCAACAGCAGAGACCCAACCGACCTCCCCACGCCCCGGTACAACATCCAGACTGGTGCTCAGAGGGGAACACCTGCAGCCAGAAGGCGACTCCACCTGAGGTCACAGTCTACCTCTGCTCACACTGTTACTAAATGTGCTTTTGCCAGGTGGCCTCATTATTAAAATGATATATTTTGATGGTTACATAAATGATAAATTATGAGTGATAGAAGAGAATTGCTGTTTTTATAAAAACTAAGAATGCTTTAGGAAAATTAAAGGGAAATCATTCACAAGATTAAAAAAACTGCCTTGATTTAGGTACAGCTGATCTTATTTTATGACTAATAAAATGAGTAAGTGAAAAATAAAAATCTAGAAGAAACTACTTTTAAAGTACTTTTAAGGACTTGCTCTACTTTAAAGAAACTAAAACCAGAAATAATGATGCGTAATAAATGTAGGTTCAAGCAAGAAAAAAGCCAAAGATCCCCAATTAGCAAACCCCACACCTACTCAAAGACCTTTAGCTTTCCATTAAAAGAATGAACAATACACTGGATGCATTTTACCTATCGTAATATATTTTACCTACCTTAACTTAAATTGTTTAAAGTATGTATTTTAAAAAAATAATTCCTCACTCTGAGGTGCCCCTCAATCAATTGAGGGGAAACTCAACAATTAGGTCCAAATTATGTCAGATAGGGCAGCTCTACCCTAACTGGTGGCAGTGGACCAAGGCAGAGTATGAAAATAATGAAGTGAAAATCATTCATTTATAACTGTTTTTATAAGAAACTGAACGTATTTTTAGTAGCACAAAGAGCCTGACCAGGAACAGATTTATGATGAGAAACTGTAAAAAGGTTTACTAAGTAAATGAATGATTTTGGAGAAATGCTCACTGCTGAGCTGCACTTTTATTTTTCTGCTGGTTCAGAGTGACCCAACTTGACCATAACTTCTAAGATATGCTGTTTTGTCAAATTCATTAATTAGTTCGAGCAGTTTTTTGGTAGTTTTTTGGTAGAGTCTATAGGATTTTCCATGTACACTATCCTGTCATCTGCAAGTCAGTAAATGAATAGATCAAAAAATTGTGGTACACATACACAATGGAATTCTATGCAGCAGAGACAGTAGGAGCTACTACCCTTTGCAACAACATGGATGGAACCTGAAAGCATTATTATGCTGAGTCAAATAGGCCAGGTGTTGAAACACAAATACCATATGATCTCACCTTTGACAGGAAGCTAAACAACAAAACAAACAAGCAAACAGAATAAAAACAAAGACACTGAAATAGGGAACAAGGGGACAGCGACCAGAGGGAAGAAGGGAGGGAATTTAAGGGGGAAAAAGTGGGAGGGATTTAGAGGAAAAAGTATAAAGGACACAGGGACAATGACTAAGGGGGGTGGAAATGGGAGGGAGGTGGGGAGCACGGGGCGAGGTGGGCTGGGATGGGAGAAATAGAACACTGTACTTGAAAAATAACTAAAAAAAATTTAAAAAGTTACTTCTAAGATATGCATCACGTTTCAAAATGTGTTAATTTTTTCCTATAGCTTCTCTTTGAAGAAATTAAAGAAACACATGCACTTTTTAGGTGAAAATAAGTGCTGGTCTTAGTTATCTTTTGCCCCCAAATTTCAGAGCTTATAATATTGAAATTATTTACTAAAGCGGAAGCAAACAATTTTATACAAGTTTGTTAAGCGTGGGGAGGGAACCACTGAGGCTGAGGCTCACCACCAGTTTCCACTTCGAAGCAATGTCTACACTTCAAAGAAGTGAGTATATATTCACATGCGGTTTTCTAGAAAAGACAATAAAACATTTGGACAGTAATATTTTTTCTTTTCCCAGTTTGAATTCTTCCAATTAATTCTTGCATTAGTCACTGGACTTATTTCTTCCTGCCGATGTGGCCTTATATTCTTCATTTGAATGGGGAGGTATGTGACGGCTCTGCTACAGTGCAGTGTGAGGGAACTACGGTATTGGAAATGAAAGATGAGCAAACAATTCTAGGATATGAGACAGAACTCAAGCTGTTACTCTTAGGTCAAAATTTTATTGCCAAGAGCAGACCATCAAATGATTCACAGAACAGATTAAATAGGGAAAAAAGACAAACACCATAAATCACCACCAACAAAACAGTCAAAATACAACAAAATTGAGTTGATATTAAAATGTCATAATAGAAAATATTTAAAAAGCATTCCCATAAAATAGTATTAGATTACTATTATATATTAGTTGTACTATTCAGAGTAGCTTCAGTGATGATTGGCAAATCAGGAACTAAGAACCACTCCGGGAACTAAGTTAGTGCTTGTGGAAATAACAAAAATGGAGTAATTTTATTGTTTCTTTAATATAAATAACTTCCAAGAAAGCAAAACAGAGATATTAACCACAAAGTAAATGCATGTCTAAGAATGAGAATTACTGCTCTGAATATCAAGAGGTAAAATATGTGGAAAAAATCTTAAATTTGAGTTATAACAAAATTAATTTTATTAAAACTACCAATAATATAGTTAATATTATTAGTAGTAGTATTTACAGCAAACATTTAAAGTTTATAGTATAAACAGATTTGGATTTGTTTACAGTAAGAATTAACTTTGTTAAAATAAATTGTTAAATGCTTAAAAATTTAACAGGCCCATCTCTGCCCGTGGTGGTGGCATTCTCTGCCAGAAGGCAGGCAGCTCATTTTAAGTTGGCCCTTCTTCCCCCAGCTTTGTCCACCCGGACACACTTCTCTAAGTCAAAGGAAGCCACCAGACACTGCAAAATGCCCAGTGACTATGGGCTCTAAGAACAGACTCAGCTTGAAATGAAATCTATTGATGAATAGGGACAGTAACAGTACCTGCCTCATGGGATCAAGGTAAGATGCAAAATAGGGTAGAAAGACCTTCAGCGCAGTGCTTAATGTTTTCTCATCATTGCCTGGTCGAGAACCTCCCTGACCACACTGCCCACAGGGCAGCTGAACTTGCTCTGGGTAAGCAGCGTCTTTCTAAGTGGCCCCTCACCTTGGCCTCAGAGCCAAGGCTCATGCCCTGGAGTCAAACCATGGGCCAATTTCAACTCAGGCAATATATACTTTGTATCTTTTCTTTGGTAAGTTTAGTTTTAAACTGATGTAATTTTGACATAATACAGTGAAATAACACGTTATATATTATACAATAAATATAATAGCATGTGTGCTAACTAACTATCATTCAGAGGAAAAAAAAGTTTCACTTTTAAAAAAGCATGTTTTTGAGAACTTCACTTCCTTACTAAATAGTGAGCCTTTTATTGTCAGAGTCAACTTTACTTCCTTTATGGAAGTGCATCTGTAATTTTATCAGAGAAACCACTATAAAAATATTATTGCTGACATTTTCTCAAAAGCCAACTTTTAATCCTACACAGTGACTTTCATGTTGATTTTAAAGACTTCAAAACATTTTGGGAATAGCATTCTTTAGTACGCTCGTTGAACTCTTGTCAAAATTCATAATGAAAAAATTTCATAAAAAATAAGATGCAAAAGAAAACTTCAGTGTACTGCAACATTTAAACTTCAGTACTGAAACATTTAACCTGGATGAAGTAAATTGTTCATTTACTTCTGTTATGTCAATCATTAAATAGAATGTTTCCTCAGGATAAAAAAACTTTTAAGAATTTCATGTAATTTATGTATTGAAGGCATCATGGCTACAACACTTATTTTCTGAGTGTCTATGTACCGAGCCATGCACTGTTCTGTACACATAAATGAACGAGCACGCTGTGACACAGCATACTGAGAAACAAGAAATTAAAAAGGGAAAGTGAATGCGAAATTAAAGAAAAACAATCACAACAAACATAACAAGAAGTTAACTTTATTTTTTATAATCATCATCATTAAATAACAGATCAAACTGGAGTTAAGTGCCCAGATCCTGCTCCACCTTAGAACATTCTGGCCTTTGCTTTTGCAGCAAAGTCTGTTTAGTTAAAAATATGTATTTTGTTCAAAGGTCTTCCTGGAGACAGGAAAGACTGGTGATAGAACTTTGAAGTTTAAAAATCTACCACTTTTATTAATATTAATGTGACATGATTCCTCATGCAAATCCTCAGCCAGTTAGAACTTAAATCACATACTCATCTCAAGTAGTTTAACAAAGAATTTGCCACTTTATCATCTCCAAACTCCAAATAACAAATGTGTATTAATCTTAGGAACTTCTTGGTTCCCTATTACTGTAATACAGATTCTGGAAACAAAAAACAACCCACTTCATAAATTCTTTGTTAAAAATATGGCACTAAAAATTAAACTCAAAACCGTCAATTATCTTTTTTTGGAGGTGGGGGGAGATGTTGAGAAAAAACATTTGGAACATGGAATCACAGAGGATTTAGGCAAGCTAGGCGTGGAGCTGCTTCCCAGATGCGTTAAGCACCGTGCCAACACACAAAGCCAATTAGGAATAAAATCTTGGCCTTGGGATTCGGAGGGCTCAGTGCTCTCTGGGTATATCATCTGAAACAAGGCTGCGCCGTTCCAAAGTACCACATGTACTTTCCCAACAAGTTACTTACTTCAGCACTATCCTGAATAGAAGAGCTGTTGTTATAATACTAAAATTCGAGAAGATAACAGCCATGGCCTAGAAAGAAAGAGAAGATAGAGTTACAATCCAAATAAAGTACTGACCTCAGAAATCTCCCAGCTTGGTGGTTCACCTGACAAGAAAAGCATTTTTGGTCAAAAACCAGAGGGGTTATTAGGGCAGCTATTTCACTAGAAGATTAAATTCCATTTTTATTGCTCATTAAATTTATGCAGATATGATCAAATTATTGTACAGGCTTTCAAAATGTGTTGAAATTCAGCAAATGCCTGTGTAAATAATCTGTATGTGCAGATCTGGAAATACTTACAAACGTTAAAAGTTTATGTCTGAAATAACAGTTACCATGCCTCCAAAGAATACTGTTCTGCGCTCTCAAAGTGCTTTATAGTCTTTCAGTACTGTTTCTATGGCTAGAGAGAAGGTAGGTTCTGTTAGGCCCATTTATACAGTAAGGTAAATGAGATCAAGGTTTTTAAGCACCCTTACTATTGTAGGAACTGAATCGGTTTTCCTGGCTGAGCTATCAGTGATTCACTACCAAACTCATATCTGACAGTCCTTAGGATTTATTCACATTGTTCTAAAAACTCAGAAGTGTGTTAGTCAAATTTTATAAAGGTCTGTTTTTGTAAATTCAGTCATATTTCACATATGAGACTACTACTCTGAAAACACACATATACATTTTGGCCTAGGAAGTATGAAATTCTATCACTGTTCCTTATAATTGGATCTAATATATACACTTTTAAAAAATAAATTGGATTTAGTTCACCCTGCCTTCCTCCTTCCTGTCATTTTAGCATGACTAAACTCCAAAGAGTATCAACAATCTTATATAACCAGCACGCATGGCCAACACGCAGCTGAATTAAAGAAGTAACAGTAAATCCGGTAACAATGAACAAAAATTCCAAGACTACAATATTGTTGTTTTTTCTACTGAATTTTTATGGGTATGCTATTTTAAGATTTCCTCAGTGTCCGTCTCTGTAGATGAGTGTCTGTGAGCTGCTAAGTAGAAGGGTGAAGAGGATGCAAGGGAAGTGGGGAAGTGGAGGCTCTGATTGGTCACAACCATGGCAACTCGAGTGTACTCGCCAAGCATCCTGGCTGGCCTGGTGCCTTCTGAAAACTCTGTCCATGCAATAGTACAGAATGAACAAAACACTAGAGCTCTTTGCCCTGAAACTTCCATGTAAGCCTCTTTAATGCCTTCCAGCAGTACACAGCCACGTGATTTACTTTGTAATATTTGCGGTTGTACATAATCAGGAAGGAAGTGCAAAGCAACAGGTTGAAAGAAAAACAGGAAATTGTAATCTTGCCTCGGTATTGGGCAATGTAGGAAAAACATAAATGTAGAGTAATCGGTAATATGTTGGATACAAATAAAATAGAATATTCAATATATACTTATTGAATATGAATAATTGTGTCACCAGGTACGGGAATTCTCAGGTCTGAAAAATACAGTGGAAGCATGAATTTAGGAGAAAATACATTTTAGGTGCATGGACACTTACTAACAACAACATGGATCACAGAGCTGAAAGGAACTTCAAGTGATCACCCGGCCCAGGTCCCTGCCTTTGAGCAGGTATGGCAACATTATTTTCTTCTACAAATGGGCAATTGACTCTTAGAGTACTTGGGGCTTGCCTAGTAACATGGCTTCCAAATTGTGCAAAAGAATCAAACTCCTATTTTCAACTAGAGTTCTCTGTGAATCCCTCCTTTTCATCCCACTCACAAAATAATTTGGCTATATTTAAGAGGCTTCACATAGAGGACTACAATGAATAAAAATTTTATTTATAATAGAAATGCCTGAATTTATGCTTTAAAGGAATTTGTAAAACATTTTGGCAACAATGGAAACAAGAATGCTCATTTTTTAAAACATTAAGAAAAAAAAACAACAAAACACATGACCCAAACTGAGTAATAGGTAAGAGCAGAAGACCGATTTTAATTCTGATTACTAATGGTTCTCTAAATCTGCATGAAGAATGCCAAGAGAGATTAAAATATTCCAGCAGTATTGGTTATATAAGAAGTGTTTAGAGTTGGGAGGATACAATTTCTACCCTTAAAGTACTTGTTAGTTAAATGACAGGGCTAACAAAAAGAAAATTGTACAAAAAGAATATATATAAACTATATCAAGCAGGTATACAAAAGAGCAGTGCACTGAGTGTATAATTTTGAGTTAAGTCTCCTTGGAGCACCTAAATATTGAGATTTGTATTAGAGGCTGGTAATCATAGATAGGACGGCTCGGAAAATAGGCAGATTGATTAAGGTTACAGAAAGAGACCTGGGTCCAGATTCACTGGCCAGGAAGCAACTCCTACAAAACAGAAAGTTTTATACAGCGAACTTTACCAGTGAGAGAGACTCTGGCAAGCAGATTGGTAAATCAGTACTTAGGTGATTCTCATCAAACTTCAGAAAGGCCACGGAAGGAAACTAACAATGCCCAGGAAAACGATTAAAAAAAAAAGATTAGCCCTGGAATTCATTTATCTGTGTTTTCCCAATGTTATTTTGTCATATCTACTTACAGGTTGAAGATAGGAAAGGACATAGAAGACAATTAAATTATCCAGGAAATAAAGAAAGGCTGGAATGGACCACTTGATGAAATTGAAGAATTCCCTCCAGGAAGCACATCTTAAGTTTCTACTTTTATGATCTAAAGAAAGAAACACAGCAATAAATAAATGATCTGGATGAGAATGCCCATATTTATAATAGACGGTAAATTGTATTTGATTTTTGGCATTTTTCTTTAAAAGGGGCTTTATGAACTTGCTTCCATCAGTGACTATTAGCCTTAAGAAATCAGACAATACAGAATTTCCTTATTACATTATTATCCTTCTGCACTCCACCACTGGGCATCATCACTGACAACTGGCAACACTTCAGGATTACTGATTCTCATTATTCTTGTTAACCTCAGATAGAAGTATCACTTAAGGCAACTTAGGATACACTTATGGTTTCTCTTAGTACTCTGAGGGCATAAAATAAAGAGAAAAATCAACAAATTAAAATAAGTAGAAAAAAACCCTCAAAAAGTTCCTGCTGGTATCCCCCCCCCCCCCCCATGGTATTTGTGTGTGTTGGGGGGGTGGGTTAGGAAAGGGAGATGCTGGGTGAAAATTTCTATCTGGAGGAGTAGGGAAAATTAAATTTTACTAATTCTAGTGTTAAGTTATTGTACCATTTCCAGATTTTCAAAAACTCAGGAAGGTACTGTAAGAGAGAATGTAAAATAAAATAAAAAGAAAGAAAATTTAAATTTAAGCCCTGAAAATAGTTCCTGAATTTCATGAGATCAAGAAACATATTTTGCTAACTGGAAACTTTGCATAGACTGAAACTCTTGAGTATGACATCTTCCTCGGACAAGCCCTTTAATAAATTCTGTTTACCTGACATGGAAGACAGTTCACATTAGAGTGCAAAGACTCAATAATAATTAGGAAATGTGCATGAAGAATTAATACGCTTTAAGAACCATAAAGGGCTAGGTACTTTACATGTGAGGATTAATATCCTTGTTAGTTGATGAAACTAGAGCTCAGAAAAGTTAAAATAATCTGACCCTGAATACTGTCTCCCTGACCCCAATGCACTACGCTGCCTCCCCTGCAGGAGATGGGGACTGCTCTGCGATGTGCTTCACAGTAAGCCAGACGGCAGTAATTTTAAAAATCCTGAATTGGAACACAAACTCACGGAGCAACCCACTACAGAAACAAGCTATGAACTACAGCAATCGACAGGACCCTAGAAAGCGCAGCCTGGCGTTCTGGCTCGGCCCCGCACACCCAGAACTGCGTAAGCTTTCTCTCTGAGTCCGTTTCACCACTTTGAAACACGGACAATCATGCTGATGTTTGTTTTAGTGTCCTCACAGGTAAAATTAATGAGCGAAATGATGCAAAATGTTCTTGTCACTTCTAAGACTTTTTGACTCTGTATTCTGATTTTTAACACGCATCCAGTATTGTTTCAAGACTCACCTTTCTTTATAACCCAGATTGACACGAGCCCACAGAAAATGAGCTTCACTAGTTCTGAGCACACATTCACAGTAGTTGGAAGATAATCATATTTGTTCTCTGAAATGTAACAAAAATGTGTTTTAACTATAAATTTTGTTCCATACAATGTTTATACAGTTAATAGAGTTGTTTTTAAACTTAAAAGCTAGATTTTTATATTAGTTATATTAACGTTCATCCAATTGGCTTTGCTCTTTTGAATTTTTAAATTAATTCACCTAATATTTGATCTATCTCTACCCCATTGAGCATTTTATTATACTTGAATTTGATAAATATGCCTCTCATGTTTTCATCTAAGTTGTGGATAAATATGTAGAGGAGGGCAGGGCTACAGGCAATAAAAGCTTTGTGGCATGGCATCAGAGGCAATCTTCTAAATTTGGCATTAATACATACATACTCAGGGCCCGACTCCTCCAGCATCTAGGAATTGACCTGGCTGAATTATTTATTACTCAGCTCATGGTACCTCTTGTGTGACTCTGTGAGCCTTGTACGCAGCTCAAGGTACACTCTGTGATATTCCCTTAACTTATCTGTGATATTTCCCGTAACAGGAAAGAGCTTTCTTTCCTGTTTCATATCATGGCACACACAGATAACATTTGTTTGGCATTCTGGGACAAATGATACATTGGGAGAAAAGGAAGCTATCTCAGGCAAGAGGCACCTGGTCCACAGTCCTGGCTACTCTAGGGCTAAGAGAAAATACTCTGATATCCCCAAAAACCCATGTTGGAAAGCCTAATGGACAAGTCAATCTAATTAGGAAATGAGGTTTGGTTAATACGCCTTGGTCTTCGCTGTTAACTCTGCCATTTCCAAATGCTTACAAACAACTTGCTGTATAATTTTGGCCAAAACACAAACCTTGTTAGGTACTATTTTTAGGAATGGATTTTTCCCCTTTTTGAAAACATTTATATTCTTTACCTTGGTCATCATATTAAAAACCCAAACTGGCCAAGTACAAAGGAGAATCACCAATTCAATACTCTTTCTCCCCAGAACACGCTTTCTTCCTCTTTCTGTGGCTTCCCTTGACCTTCGCAAACTAAGCATTGTTAATTCTTTATTCATTTCTGATCCTGTAGCTCCTCCTATAAACCTCTGTAACAGTACTCATCACATTGTATTAGTTATTTTTTTATGTGTGTGTCTTACCTTTAGAATGTAAACTCCCTATGAAAAAAGGACCACATCAGCCATCTTTACATACCTGGGACTTAATGTTGCTTTGCACTTAGCAGGCACTTAATAAATGTTAACCTGAATTTAGTTATTTGCCTGTTAACACTTTTTTTCACATCATTCAAAGCCTAGTTAAAAGACATCCTCCTTCCTCTTCTGAGCTCAAAGCTAGACTGACATCACACTCAATTTTCCCCCAGTAACACTTTGCATGGATCTCTATTATGATACACATGAGCAAACATGTACACACAAGAATAGGGCTAGGGTGAAGCCTTCAAAATACAACTCAAAATCTTGTCACTGCTCTTTAACTTACTCTTTTATTCTTTTTTTTCTTGTATTTCTTTTGTGGTTGATTCTAAACTATGTCTCAGTAACATGTGGCAACTCCCTCCACTTACCTTCTACTACACTCACATACCTTGTCTACATTACATCCATCCTTACTGGTTTCCCTTTAGTCCCTCCAAAAGGGGCCCCGGTCCCACTATGCACCCATCCTTCCCTTTGAAATCTTCCCTAGCAGGGACTTTGCTCCAATAAGTAATTCCTCTGGCTTCAATATCCCCTTTATCTATTAACTGATTTATTCCCCTTGGCCTATAAATATGCTTAAAGCCCACTCATGCAAAAAAACAAAAACACTGTAGAAGGTCCTACCCCTCCAACTACTGTACTTCCTCCTTCTCTCAATAAAACACTGTCAGCATTCATTATCTCCATTTTGCCCACTTTCCATTTAGGTCTTGTCCTCAAACAATGTTGTTTCTTATCCCACCACTGTATTCAACCTACCTTCTCCTGAGATTACTGAGTATCTTCTAATTACTAATTCCAAAGGGCATGCTTTAATCCTTATCTTATGATGTTGCAACTCCCTCTGTCTTCAAACATTTTCCTTTCCATCTGAGTCATGTGCATTTAGTTCTTGCTAACAATTCCTTCTGAGTGTCAGCATGCCTGTTAAATGTTGGTATTCTTTGGAGTTCTGTCTTTGGCTGTTTTCCTGTTTTGTATGCTTACTCTGAATGAGCCCTTTGCCTCTAGAATTTTAAATGTCAATTTAATATTAATGTCTCCAAACCTGTATTCTGGAACATTTAATGCCTACTAACACATGCATATGAATAACTACCTTGTATTTATTCATTATTGCAATAAGTACACAGCTACTGGCCTCATAAAGGCACAGAGCTAAAACTCTGTATTCTCTCTAAACTCTGTCCAATCTCTTCTTTTTAATTTAATTATTGTTCAAGTACAGTTTTTTTACTCCCATCCCAGCCCACCCCCCCAGTTCTTCTTTTTCTTAATAGTCTTCATCTCAGCTGAGAACATCCATGACCCACTCACCACTCGCAACAAAACTTTGAGCTACCCAGTATTCTATCTCCTTTAACTTCCATGTTCAATACATTCTCCAAGTTCTGTCTTTTCTATGTTTAGAATATTTCTTTACCCTATCTTCTCTTTTCTGTTCCTTCTTCCAAAGCCTTGGTTAGTCTCCATCATCTGAGGCTTGAATTTGCAATAATCCCCTAACTGGCTACTCACTTCGAGTCCCTTCCCCTTTTGTCCATCCTGCATCCACCCTACCATAATAGTCTTTTTCACTTTTCCCTTCTGTTTACAATCCTTCAGGTACTCCTTACTCCCCAGACTATCAGGTCTAGAGAACAAAGTCCCAGGACATTAGCATAGTATATGAAGTCCTTAACTATCTGATCATCGCTTCTCTCTCTGGCCAAGCTCACCTTTCCCCCTCTCCTCTGAGTTCTTAAACTTTTTGTTCTGTAATTCTGAACTACACCTTCTCACAATCCATCCTGCTTTTATGCATCTGTTCATTTTTACAGTTTGTTGCCACTGTTTTGAATGCCCCTGATCACTTTGTAATCTTGTGGATTAACTGTCGGCCTTATCAAGGAAGTGTTCCCTTATCCCTTTGTACTACACATCATCCTCTCCCAGACAGAATATACCACTTTCTACTCTAAACTATTTCTTCATCTTTGGTATAGAACAGCATTTATTATATTATATATTCACAATATATTTACATGATGTCTTTCCTAATAAACAGAGTTCTTGAGAACTAGGTCTATGTCCTATGCACTTTGAACCTGCTTATACTTATTCTAGGGTCTGGCAGATAAACTAACTTAAGTAGAGAAATATACACATCTGACTTTCCAACCAGACCATTAAATGTTACGGTGTCGTAATTTTATGTGTCCTCAATAACTCATAAAAGGTTCTCAGTACAGTTTTATGGAATTAAACTGTTTAAATACAAATTCTTACATAAAAGAATTCTTGAGCATGTATTTACCAAAGCTATAATCTGCACTGTCCCAATGATACAATAATTCAGATATACAATGATACAGATAGTACATCAAAAATGCCAAGTGACTAAAAATATATCCTCTTGACTATCTCAAAATTAGTTATAATTATACACATTGCTACAGGCCCCAGGACTAGTTGACTAAAGCAATAGTCAGATGTTATGACCTGTCCTATACAGGTTCTTGACTGACCCAAATTTCAGAAAACATCAAAAATTTTTCTTGCTAAGGAATGAAAGGTTAAAAAAATCAAATTTAAACATTCTTCATCATTCCCATGATGCAGAGTACTTGAAAGGGTATTATTCCCATTTCATACACAAGAAAACCCAAATCAGGAGAAAGAACATGTAATTAGTTGGAAGCATTCCGTACATATTCCAAGTCCTAACTTACCTTCGTTGGCTGAATATTTTACTAATAGGATGCGACTTGAGCTTAAAGCAATGAATATGGCCCCTAGCAAGAATGTATACATTGTGGACAAGGAGCATAACATGGGATGACCACAGCACTTGCTTTCCATTTCACTGTTTTCTAATTGCCTTAAAGAGAAGAATAAGTTAATGAGCAACCCTGTTGGCAGATTAAGGATAATGCAAATGCCATTGATTTGTGCTATGGCTATTACTAAAACTGAAAAGAAAGTTGAGGAGCACAAGAGAAAACTGTGGAGAAGTAAATGAGCAGTGTCAACATTTGATGGGTGGAGGAACTCTAAGGACAGAATAGGCCAGAACCAGATTAGAAGTGCTGCTAAGGTTGCAAGTGGGTAACTAACACTTTGGGACTTCATAATTCTTCACACAAGCAATTGTTTAACTTTCACTCTTACTAACAACTTTGCTATAACAGACGAGAATTTCAGATACGTTATTTCTCTCCTCCGTTGCTCCTCTTCCCTAGGAGGAGGAAAAAGCTTGTTTGGAAAAATTTCGTTGCATTGATGTTAACTAATACTGAACTGGTGTTGAGTAGAAAAGAACTTTGAAATCAGTGACTCTAAGACACTCTTTTATATGCTGAGAACACTAATTTCTAGGCAGGGTAAAGTATTTGCACAAAGCCTTCCAGTGTGGGGATGCGCATAGGGCCTGGGGGATTGGTGATGCCAACTGCGACAGCTCTACTGGGCGCACAGTACAGAGGCCAAAGAGGACCCTCTCCCGTTAGAGGGTGGAGGGGCCCTCTCCCTCCACCGCCAGGGAAATCCATCTTGCCACACCTGCGCAATAGGGATAGCGTAAGGCGCGCCCACCCCTCCAACGCACGCGCACTCCTTGGGCCGACGGGCGCGGTTACCTCCGTTCCTCTGAAGAGCTCTAGTGGAAGAACTCACATCCTAAAATTGAATCAGTATCTGATTAGCTCAGTAGCATCAGCAGCTTTTAGCGTCCATACGTAGGGAAGCTATCGGAGGGAAGGAAAGGCGAAAAACCCTCTGCTACAGAGCCTCTTATTTCGAAACAAAAAGCACACTAAGGTCCCAGTCCCAAACAGCGGACTTGGCGCCCATTGCGCAGGCGCGCTCTGTGTTACGCTTCCGGAGGGCGGGGAGAAGCCGCCAGATCCCGCCCCAGCTTGGGCTTTTCTCTCGTCACGTGTCCAGAGTCTTAAGTCACGTGAGACCCGAGTGGCTGTGGAGCTACGGCGAGAGTGTGGGAGAAGGACGGGGAAGCCGGAAGGGGCGCGAGAGGAGCAAAGGGGTGAATACAGTTCTCGAAAGCCAGGGTTGCGGGTGCGCCCGCTCCTCCCGCCCCCCCAAACCCACCTTGTCCTTGCCACTCTCCCTCGTGGCCAGTTGACAGCTGGGCCCGGTCCCCTGCTCGCTGTCTGGGGCGCGAGGAGCGCCTGCCCAATCCTAGCGCGCGGTGCCAGCCGCCCCTCCCCCTCGTCCCGTACGTCCCGTCGGGTGCCTTCGCCTGGGTGCGGATGCACGTCGGCGGTAGCGGAGACATTTTCTGACTCCCGGTCGCGTGTCCCAGCTGTCCTTCCCACCCCGTCGCGGGGCCGGCCGCTATTCCGGCCCCAGGATGCAGAATGTGATAAACACAGTGAAGGGCAAGGCACTGGAAGTGGCTGAGTACCTGACCCCGATCCTCAAGGTAAGCCGGCCTGGGCTTGCCACGGGGTGTCAGACACACGCTCAACTCTGAAGGGACCGAGAACCGGGCTCTGGGGGAGTCACCGTGTTCTCCGGCCTGGAAAGATGTAGGAAGGTGGGAAACTGGAAAAGGTGCAGCTCCCAGACGTGATCTTACCCAGCTGTTTTCTGGGTCTTCCCTGGCTCTTCGGGTAAACTTGGAGCGATGCTCTTTGCTTTTTCGTGTCGCCCCTTCGCCCGTCAGAACTCAGCGCGTCTGGGTACGTCGGGTTGGAAGGTGGTCCGCAGCTAGGTAGATGTGAGAACGTTAAATCCTAACATCGGTAGTCTTTTGAACTTTTTAAACAAAGATTTTGTTTATCTTTAAAAAAATGAAATCAATGGTACTAAAATGACATGCCATTTTTTTCTTTAAAATTTCGTAAGTCTTTTATAATTAGGAGTTTGAAACAGTAAGTGGTGATAGAGTTGTCAACTTGTTACTTTTCAGAGGAACAAGGTGAAAGTTACAACATGATCGGTACCATTGAACCCAGCTAACAGGCAAAGCCTCCCTTTCCCGTTTTTAAAATAGCTGAAACTAGTTGTTAATGTGCCTTGACCCTGTTAGATATGTAACTTGTTACATATTTGGCAATACAGCATTTTTAAAGTGAAAATTGTGGCACCTTGGTTATTACAGAAGTGACTGATGGTTTTCTTACTTTCAAAGATAAATTTCTAGAGGCGTGTGTAAGTTTTTAAGTAATTCTTTTAGAGTAAGGTTTTTTTGTTGTTGCAACTTAATTTTTCCTTTCTGAAGAGCGAGCAGTGATAGTAAATGAATAACTAGTTCTTATTTAGTGTTTGCTTTAAGCTTTCAACTAAAATTTTACAAGTCTTTGTGTGGGAATGAATATCTTTGGAAATGGTTGGTTCTCTTCATTCAAGAAGCTATTCTGGTATGCTCAGAAGAATAGTGGACAATTTTACTTTTCCATGACAAAGAGAAGTGTTCACTCTGTACTGATTTTATATGAGACGGATTTTTAAATGATACCTTCTTAGAACAAGTTTTAAAAAAAAGTCAGGAAAGTTTATAAATGAGAATTTCAACTCTTGCTATGCTTATATTTGTTTACTGTGAAACCCATTTTAATTAAGATTATTCATTCAACTTGAAATTGAAAATCACTTTTACAGTTGAATCAAATGATTCTTTTGCATATTATGTTATCTTTTCAGAAAACTGTCTACGTAGGTATGTGGTGTGAAAATAATACATGATTGTTACAATTTTTTAGTTTCAGGGAAGAGAAGTGTGAGAAAAAGACCTCCCAAATATAAAACTGCTATTTTGGCCAGTTGTACTTTATTGAACTTACAACACAGAATTTTGTTTTAGGAAATCATTTTACTTGTTCACCAGCTGATGAAGTGTTAGCTTGTCAGTATGTACTTGTCAGTATGTATTTTTAGTAATAAGGAAAGCAGAATTAATGGTCATCTCCTTGCCCCTCCCTGTGCAAACTTGTTGGTTTACAGAGAGAACACTTACAGTTTCTTTCCAGACATGGAAAGGCAAGGAGGAAAAAACTAAATCCCTGGGAAAGAAAGAATGACTTCTCCCAGCAAGCGCAAATTAAGAAAAATCCTGGTTTGGGAGACATAGGTACAGTAAAAGCCAGTGTCTTTACAGTGATCTTGGAGCCTCTAATCTATTGGTGGAGGCCCCCGTCTACTATCGTATACTATTCTATCCCTTACTTTTGCTTAAGCCAGCCTGACCTATTTGTTACTGCATCAACTACTCTCTTGCCTCTGGTTCTTGCATTTGCCTTTTCCCTTGCCTGAAATGCCCTTCGCCCAGACAGACTTGTAGCTGATTCCTTTCCTAAGCTCTGCTCAGTAGTCATCTGTCAGTGAAGTCTTTGTTCGCTGACCATCCTATTTTATGTAGCCATCTCTCTCCCTCTTCCCCTGACCAGACCAGTTTCCTCTTTGCCTCATTTTTCTACATGGTATTCATTACCATTTGGCTTTTCTCCCTTCACTAGAGTTTAAAGTTATTATGAGGACAAAGATGAGTTTGCTCTATTTTGTTTACTCCTTTATCCCCATTAATTCAGATAGTGTCTGGCACATAGTTACACGGTCAATATCTGTTGAATGAATAATGTTCATAAATGAATCTTTGTATTTCTTCAGACTGTACCACAAAATCTTACATGTAACTGGAAAGCTTAGAAAAATTTGGTAAATAACATTGCTTTAGTGAAGAGAATATTGCGTTAGTATCTTGGTGGAGATGAGAATAATGGGAAAGTAATAAATGATTTAGTACTTCTAGATTTGGTTTCAAATATTCCATTTAAAGGAGATGTTGGCTGAATTGTGAGATGTCTAAACATCTTTAAGATGTTTTTACTGTTCTGTAAAATAAAGATATCTGTCATTTCACAAAATCATTGTAATTATTTTCATGTCAATTTTCTCCATTAGATATGTATGTCCCTTGGTTAGATACCAGTGATACATTCTTTTTTTTTTTTTTTTTTTTGTATAGTCTCCATTGCTTAGGAGGGTGTCAGGCAAATAGTTGCCCACAAAACTTTTTAAAATTAAAGTGAAAGTAGTGTAATAATGTTATTTTTTATTTCTTTAGGAATCAAAGTTTAAGGAAACAGGTGTTATCACCCCAGAAGAGGTGAGTGTTGGAGATATTCTGAAGCTATTATATTTTACAATTATATTAAACTGGGTGGCTTTTTTGCTACCCAGTAAAAAAGTTTTAACTTTAGAGTTGGGTAAAAGTAGGTTCTGTTAACCACATTAACAATTTTATAGGGATTTCTACTTCCCATAGAATAGTGCATGTAACTTCCCTCTTGATTTGCCACTTCTCATATTTCTCTGTAGTTCCTCTTTATGTAGAAGTGAGGGTGGGAGAAGGAGCGGAAAAGATTCTTATGGCCACTTACCCTTCAATCATATTTGTGTTATATTGAGCAGTGGATTCTGTGGTCTTGCAAACATAAGTTTTCTTGGCCTTCCATTTGGTAACTTTGGTTCACTGCTTGGATATTAAGATTTTTCTGAGTATTTAACGTAAATATTTTATTTCTACATATTTAACATGGATTTTTTTCCTCACGAGTTTTTTACTTTTTCCTCCCAACAAAGTCATGTTGCATGAGCTTAATGCTGAAACTAATGGCTGTTTATAGGCCTGTTGAGTTTTATTGAACTTTTAATGTAGAATAATATTTTAAGGAGCCATTTTACTTGCTCACCAAATCTCTATAAAAGTGTTCTCTTCCCTTTAGGTAGTTATTTTGTCATGAATACTGGTCTAAAGTTCTTTTAGACTCCAGTTTTATGAACAGTTATGGTTGCATCAGACTTACTTTTTAGTACTAATAAATGTCACAGAACTTAAGCTTTACCTTTAACTCTTCTTTAGAAGTACCAGTCATTGGCAATAGAACTATACTCATGATTTTGAAAGAAACTTTTTTTTAAGATTTTATTTATTTATCTTTAGAGGGGAAGGGAAGGAGAGAGGGAGAGAAATATATCAATGTGTGGTTGCCTCTTGTGTGCCCCCTGCTGGGAACTGGCCTGCAACCCAGGTATGTGCCCTGACTGGGAATCGAACCCTGGTTGCTTGATTCCCAGGCCCGCGCTCAATCCACTGAGCTACACCAGCCAGGGCAATCTGAAAGAAACTTTTTGAAATGAACCTTGTATGATCTTGCTGTTACTGTAAATTCCAAGACCTCATGCCAGAGAATTAACTGACCTTTCAGTTTTCAATTGTGATGGAATCATTTCAGTGCCAAATCCTTGTGAATTCTAATAATGATGTGCTGAACTGATCTTTTATCTAAAATTGTTTTTATGCCCTGACTAGTGTGGCTCTGTTGGTTGGGCATCATCCTGCAAAGCGAAAAGCTGCCATTTTTGTTCCCAGGCAGGGCACATGCCTGTTGAGGGTTCGGTCCCTGGTCGGGTGCATGTTAACAGCAGCCAGTCAGTGTTTATTTTATGCATTAATTTTTTCTTCCTTTTTTTCTAACTCCATTCCCCTCTTTCTAAAAAATACATAAATAAATCTTTAAAAAATAAAGCAAAATAGTTTTTATTTTTAGTGAAGACATATTGTGGTATGGAAAGAACATAGGAGATCTGCCTGCTAGACCTATTTCTCTAATTTCTCCTATTCTGACTCAGGCAAATTAATTAAGCTAACTAGTCACAGGCCTCATGCTTCTTCATTTGTAAAATAAGGGGTTTTGCTTGGACATTCTCTGAAAGACCCATTCTGCCTTAGGCATCATAGTTTAATAACTTGAATGCCAAATAAAACTGAGTTTTGATCTTGAGAATTTTAATGTTCTTGTTGAACAAGGTATAATGTAGACATGGCTCTTGAAACTTAAGTATCTGAAGTCAAGAGCAGAGATGAGAGTATGCTGTTCTTTTTGGACTTTTTGGTTTTTATCTCCTCTACTTGAAGATGACTAATAGATGGAGTTAGAGATCCATATCTGTGGTCATCGGATAGAACTAAGCTGTGTTAAAACAGTTACTAATTCTAAATTGAATACTGTTGATTGTGTCATGAAGTAGGCAATAAATTTTTCTCCTTTAAAAAAAATTCAAGGCATAACTAGCCTAGCTGGATCCCAACTACATAAGGTTGGACTGGTGTGGAGCAGGCGTTAGGAACCAGGTGGGACAGCAGGAGGTGAGCAGCCAGAGAGCAGGCAAAGTTTCATCTGTATTTACAGGTGCTGCCCATTGTTCCCATTACCACCAAAGCTCTGCCTCTGGTCAGATCAGTGGAGGCATTAGATTCTCATAGGAGCACGAACCCTACCATGAACTGCGCATGCGAGGTATCTAGGTAGCATACTCCTTATGATGGGTGTCAAACTCATTTTCATTGGGGGCCACATGAGCCTTGCAGTTGCCTGCAAAGGGCTGAATGGAATTTGGGGACTTTGTAAATGTAACTACCTATAACAATTAAGCAAGAGCTCAGCACTGACATTGGGTAAAAACAAGGTGCCAGGCCAGATAAAACAAGGTGGAGGGCCGGATTCAGCCCAAGGGCCTTGTGTTTGCCACCTGTGCCTTATGAGAATCTAGTGCCTGGTGATCCGAGGTGGAGTTGAGGCAGTGATGCTAGTGCTGGGGTTATCATGACCAGAGAGATGTGATTGCACAGAGACCATAATAAATCAGTTGCTTGCAGACTTTTATCAAAACCCTATCAATGAGTGGCAAGTGACAATTAAGCTGCATCTGGTAGCAGGCCAGAAAGACTCACTCCCCTGCCCCGGTCCATGGAAAGTTTGTCTTCCACAAAATCAGTCCCTGTTGCCAAAAAGTTTGGGTGCCGCTGGTATAGAGTGCAATGACAGGATTGAGTTAGATTAGAATCAGTCTAGAGGGAGAAAATGAGAAGACATAATTTGCTTTAGATAAATGCTATACTGAATTTTTTGTTTTACTGTTTCTAGGCTTCTGGCTGTCAGCCTTCAGATAGCTTTTTTTGTGTCCACCTCTCAGTGTGAAAGTCTTGTGCTTAAAAAGTGTGTCAGGCATTATCCAATATGGTATTGCCTGACTAAGAATACTGACTAAATGTACAATATGTGTATGGCTTGATTGAATACTAGAAATAGAGGGTAGCTTCAGAAATAAGGTTGCTCACCAAAATGTTAATATTGATTCTGTCTTGTTGGAGTTATTCATTATTATATAATATTTAATTGCTAAGAGAAAGCTACTGGAAAAAATACTAAAAATTTAGAAACTTGAGTTTTTGTTTTACATTTCATTTTACTTGGACATTTTGAAGCATGTTATAATGGCCATTGCTAGTGAGAGCAAATGTACATAATGTATTAACTATCAGTACAATTTTATGTTCTTTTATAGTTTTCCTTCTAGTGTTTTTATTTTTTTAGTAGATGCCACCAGAGATACCATGAACTAAAATATTAGAGTCTTGTGACATCAAGGCACTATCATTAAAAATTTTTCTTAATTTTTTTATTGTTTTGCTTTCATTTTATTAAATTAATACTCTTTAGCTCCAGGTAACCACAAAGTTAATGGCAGCGTCTGGTCACAACAAGCCAAAATGCTTAAAACCTGGGGGTGAGAGTATTGTTTTAATTTGGGTTTTTGTCTTAACATGACCAGTTTGAATAGTAAAAAAGATTCTTAAGAGAACAGAAACACTTGCTGTTGGGAATACACTGCTAAATCTTGTTTAATGTTTTTTTGGAAAGTTACTCTCAGAATCTTATTTTACAGAGCATTACTCTTTCAAAGTAAAATGGGATTTTACATGTAGATGGGCTTTTCTGAGAAAGGCATTAGAAAATTAAACACATTATAATTTTTTGCTGTGTAATAAACCCATGAACAACACATGATTTTAAGTTAGAGCTGTTGTGAAATAGTAATTGGGAAAGTATGTGTGCATATTGCTTGAGTTGGGACACTGCAGTTATACCTAACAGACTTTCATTTTTCTGCTCTCTGGAATAAACAGGATTTCTGTCTTGTAGTAAGATTAATTCATGTGCATGTATAATGGAAGTTCTCAAAAAGTTAAACTATTTCTTTCTGAGTCTGTTTTTTATTTTCGGGGAAAAAAACCCAATAAACAAAAATTTGTTTAATGTTGAATCTGCTCACAAAGTCCAAGGTTTTTTAGAAGGTGCAGTTTTTTTTTAAAATCCTCACTGGAGGATATGTTAATTGATACTACAGAGAGGGGAAGGGGAGGGAGAGAGAGAAACATTCATTGGTTGCCTCTTGTAGATGCCCTGACTGGGAATCAAACCCACGAGTATTTGGTGTGCATGAGGATGCTCCAGCCCCCTTAGCCACCCGGCAAGGGGGTTGGAGCATTCATTTTCTTTTTTGTCTTGCTGTTGTCCACGTCATTCCAAAAGCTTCTTTTTTTCCATTGTTTGGCCCTACACTTCTCACTCTTGTTAATATTTCTTTAAGAGTGTGAAAAAACTTTCAAATTGGCTATTTCCTCAATTTTTTTTAAATAGGAAGAAATGTAATGTGATAAACTATTCTTATATCAGCCATGTATCTATTTAGTAATTTTTCCAAAGTTCTTGAGTTTTCAGTCACTAGCAGGAATCTTCTTTACATTTTATTTATCCATAAAATGATTTTTGACATCTTAAATCCTGTAATGTCAACTTTATACATTTCATGATGCATATGTATGCTTTTGACATTTAATCCAGTGATAAAAATTGAATTAAAAATAGCATTTAATGTTTTTTCTTCTAAAATTAATTTAAATTTCTATGGATGTTAAAATTTTTGCTGTTTTAATAATCAACAGTGTTCAGGCTGGTAGAGAGGTGCTGGACTTGGTGCTGTTTGCATTTAAACTGATTATTGAGTGTCAGTACACAAGATGAACACTTTTGGTATTTGGCCACCTTACATTCAGTAACGTTCAATTTTTCTTTCTACTTTTTCATATTCCTTCTAAATCCTTAAATAGTTTGTGGCAGCTGGAGATCACTTAGTTCACCACTGTCCGACATGGCAATGGTAAGTAATCTTGGGTGAAGAATAGAAAATTAGTAAAAGGTATGACTTCATAATTACGGCAGTTTGAAAAATAGGTTAGGGCATACAAATGAGAATGACCAATCTAATCCTCTTCAGTAGATTTTTCTATGAAGCAGTTCCCCAGTGATATTCAAAATAAAAATAAAGGAAGAAAAATTGGGTGTTAACACCTGTTTTTTTTTTGCTCTGTTGATACAAAAGATGGGCATTTTTGAGATGAATGCCTTTACTTCCTTTGCTACTTATTATTCCTCTTCTTTCTATTGTCTTTTAAAAATAGCATTCAAGAGATTATAAATTTGATCAGCTCATTTTTTCAAATTAATAAGTATTTAGTGAATATTTTTATAATGTTAATGCAGAGATTTTGCAGAGTCTTATGTTCTTTAAACTGTAAAACTTTTTATTAAAATTCAAAAGTGTGCTTCCTTTTTAGGAATAAGCTCAAAAGTTTAAAGTTTAAAAGTTTCATGATAACTTTTTTTCCCTTAAGGTCTTCATAGGGAATCTGCCAGTAATAGACTCAAAAAATGTTTTATTTTCTTTATTTTTCTTTTAATTATAAAAGTAATTTAAGCAACTTAGCTGATCTCATTTTTTATTTAAAATATTCTGAATAATAACAATGTTATAAAAAAGTAGTTTCGTTACTTCTAAATACTTAGAGTAAAACCACCAGACATTTGCTGAAAAAGTGATCTCAATACTGGCAGAACTGTTCTAATTGTTCTAGAATTTTTTGGAATTATCATCTTGTTTGGATATAAGTTGTTCAACTTATTAAGTCCTTTGTTTCTCTCAACAACAGTTTTTCAATTATAGTTGAAAGGCACGGTTTTGATTTGGGAGGAGGGTTTCTAGAATTGATAATGTTTTCTGTAATAATCTGAACAGCTCTAAGAATCAAAATATTTTAAACCAGAGTTGGAACTCTCTTTCATCTGTGGCCTTTTCTCCTTAATGTTTATATTTAACAAATATCCAAAACAGTTGTTATAATTCTAATTATTAATTGTTCTTTATCTTTCAAAGCATTGTTTCTTATGTATCAAGGCCAAAATGTCAGATTTATTTTTATGTCCTTGTCTTTCCTACACATATTTTTGTTCCATATTTAAAACTGAGTTAATGTCATAGAAACTACCTGATTTAGTAAGAGTGGTTGGTTGACTTTTTTTCCTCCATCCTGCATGAAGTTAAAACTATATTTAGGTAGGTCTGGTCTATATTTCATACATATTTTAAGTCAAATATGTATATAAATTTTTAAATAATATTAATTTTGTAAACAGCTAATTTAGGATTTTCTTCAGTATGATACAGTTCTTTTTCAGATTTATTTTTCATAGTCCTTAATTGTCTAATTCATATATACAATATATAGTATTCTTATAGGGATTATACATATGGACAGGATCTTTTAGCAGGCAGTAGTTTATGGTTCTACTTGATGAATTATGATGGTTGAAATAATTTCATTGTAACTGAGAACTCAGTTATACCTCGCTCCAGTGTCCACACTTATGGCTGAATCCCTGAGATCAAAGGAACAATTCATTTTAAATCAATGCTTGAAACAGAATATTTCCATGCTATACTTTCACATCTATACATGCCACCAGGACCTTACTATATCTTCTTCCCTAGAACTTTAGGCATTGCTGTGGCATTGTTGAATTTGACACTTGGGAAGGTCCAAGGACATCTCGAAGGCTCTCTGGCTTTATTTTGTGCTCAAATAGAGGATTTGAATTTTAGACTGAACCTTGAGAAGGCAGTAGAACTCCAATTGTTCATGTGTTTGAGACAGACATCATATTCCACCCCAGTTCTGGCCAATTCCAGTAGGTGACCACAGAAGATTCTTTGAACAAATTATTAATGAGGTGTTCAGAGTAGCACTGAAATATCAGAGGGAGTCATGTTTAAAAGCAGGGGCCCTGGACTCACTTGGTATAATCCTGGCACTTCCACCTTCTGGCTTTCTAACAGTGGGCAGTCTTCTTTAATCTCTCATTTATTTACCTATAAAAAGGGGGATATTAATGTAATCCACCTCAGGGTTCTGAAGATTAGATAAAAATAATACATGTTAGAGATCTAAATCCTATACTTAAAAAACACTGTTTGTTTTCATTTATTCTCAACATTAACATCTTGTGTTTCAAAGCATCTTTTTTTATATTTTAGTTCCAATTTAAGAGTGGTAGGAACAGAGATCTTGCTAACACCTACTTTGTTATGCAGTGTCATGCAGCTATTTTTCAGCCTCTTCTTGGTCTCAGGGTGAGGGGTAGGATTAAAAATCTAAATGAGCTTATACTCACTAAAGAACAGCATTTTTTGTTGTTGTTTAGAGCCAAATATAATAGTCACTCTGTATTATTCTATATTTTTTCTTTAATATTAATCCAAATTCTCTTAGGTCTGTCTGCATCTCTTAGTACATTTCACTTACAATATTGCTTTGTTCTTTGATTCCCTGAAATATATCACTTAATGGCATTCTTCCCAAACCAGTCCTAAAACAGTTTATTCAGGGTTGTGGATTGTGCAGTTTTGAAATTTAAATGTGTTTTATCTTTGCCTTAAAATTTTTTTTTCCTTTGGTATTTTGGTGCTTTTGACTCTTTTAAAGGGCTACAGGGGAAGAATTGAAAGTGAAAGCATACCTTCCAACAGGCAAACAATTTTTGGTCACCAAAAATGGTAAGAATTATGTTGCATGTATTAGTCAGTTTTGCATGAAGAATTAGATATTTAAAAAAAAACTTTTAGTATTTGCACTTACTGGTCTTAATTAGTGCTGTACTTATAGCTGCTTTCAGACAGATTTGGAAATTTAATGAAGCTTTAGGTTTTTTTATTGCTAAGGTGTTCTATTTTCTTACTTGATATTCATCTCCTTTCTTCTTGTGATTTCTTTTTGCCAGAAATGTCTAGTTTTAAGATATTTTGGAAAAGGGTCCCTAAGCAGAGTTGGACTTCTTGTAATAGGATTTTTTAAGTTGACTTAATCTTTTTAGCTATTTGATTTTTATCATCTTGAGATTTAAATTTTTCATAGCAAATGAAATTGACACTAACTTTGACATCTAAAAGCTCAAAGCTAAAGATTTTATTAACTATGTCATTGAAAAATTGTCTATAAGTTTAAAAATGTTTTTGAAACAGAACATTTTATTTAAGAAGCTAATTTGAAAACAAAAAAGTTATAGTTCCTATCTAATCATGTAACAATATGTTGATTTCTGTTCTGATTTACCCATTATAGGAAAAGGAACATATATACAAAATAATATGTGTGGGGTTTTTTTGTTAATATAAATCATTAATATCTTGTTTTTTAAAATTAGGGTATTCATAGCAATTTGTTGACCATATATTATAATGTTTTTACACTATAGTTGTTCGGTTTTAGGCTTATCTGAATAATAATACCTGTTAATTGACATATCTGCTATATGAAAAACCTGATACCAATATTGTGTAATAGAATAAATTTTTTATATTTTTATTATTTTTAGAGAGACAGGGAGGGAAGGAGAAAGAGTGGGAGAGAAACATCAGTGTGTGGTTGCCTCTCATGTGTCCCCTACTGGGGACCTGGCCTGCAACCTAGGCATGTGCCCTGACTGGAAATCGAACTGGCGATCCTTTGCTTCACAGGCCTGTGCTCAATCCACTGAGCTACACCAGCCAGGGCTAATAGAATAAAATTTAGCAGTGGATTTTACACTGGTTTGCCCATTATGAATAGCTGGAGGTCACCTCTACCACCTCTGAGAATAACAGATGGTGCCTCCATATTCTGAGAGTAAAACTATTAGAATAAGGTATTATTCATTAGCCTGAAGTTGAACAATGTCATCTCTTGCTTCAGCTTGCAGTTTTCACAGACCATCAGGGTAAAGAATTTATAGAACACTCCCAGTAGAGCCTTTCTGCTTGTCTTCTAAAAATAAAGTATTTGGCCCTGGCTGGTGTGGCTCAGTGGATTGAGCTCTGGCCTGCAAACCAAAGGGTCGCTAGTTCTATTCTCATTTAGGGCACGTGCCTGGGTTGCCGGCCAGGTCAGGTCCCCAGTAGGGGGGCACACAAAAAGCAACCATATGCTGATGGTTTCCCTCTCTTTCTCTCTCTCTTCCCCTCTGTCTAAAGTAAATAAATAAAAATAAGCTATTTAAGGGAAAGATAAATGTGGTCAAATAATTGTGTCTGTGGGCTGCATATAACTCCTTGATCACTTTTATTAGAAGTGAACTGTAATATTCACTAATATTTTGGTGGTAAAAATATATTTTATGATATAAGATTTCTGTTTTTAAAAATGGATTTATAGGAAGCAGATTATTTGTTGCTTACTGTGTTTGCTATTTTTTATAGTACCATGCTACAAGCGTTGCAAGCAGATGGAATATTCAGATGAGTTGGAAGCTATCATTGAAGAAGATGATGGTGATGGAGGATGGGTAGATACTTATCATAACACCGGTAAGAGGAGAATAGAATGGCATATATTTGGCTTAAATTGTTTTAAACTATTTTATAATCTTTTATAACAGCCTTGATTTAAAACAAAACAAAAAGAGCATACATAAGGCACAGTGGACTTGCCAGAAAAGAAGCAGGAGGACAAATTGGAAAAAAACTCTCGCAGAGTATATCATATTTCTACAGTACTGCTACTTCAGTAGCAGTTTGAAAATATGCATATCATTTTCTTTATGTCTAAGGAAAGAAGAAAGCCAATTAGAAATACTGAATGCGCATACTGCTTTGCTTTGGATCTCTTATTCTTACGACATTCAATCGTTGGATGATGAGCTTTAGGACAGGAACCATACCCTACTCTCATTCGCTTTACTCAAAGACCTGGCATTTAAAATTATTTAATAATTATTTCTTGAGTGATTCTAAGAGGTTTCTAAGGATTATAAAGGTAGAGGTTTAATGTTGAATCCTCATTATCTACATAGTATCTGATACATAGTATAGAAGTTGTTAAACAAATTTTTGTTAAAGGATTTACCGAAATTTAAGCCATTCATAAGGGTATATTTGCGTAAGTTAGTTGGATCTCTGAATATGATTTTTTAAAATTCCAAGTCCTAAAAACCTATTTTGCTGGTATATTTTATATTAACTATGTAAATGCATATTATTATGTGCTGCTATAGTAAACTATAATTTATGATTTAGTTTTAATGAGTATGTTTTGAGTTTAAACCTAAGATATTGAAAATAAGTTTTCTCCCTCTAAGCACTAGAAAGTAGGAGGTATATCAAAAGTAGTGGTAGAAATGGGTTTCTCAACTTTAGCACTATTAACATTGTGGGCTAGGTAATTCTTTGTTTCAGTGTATTCTGTATAATACAGAATATTTAGCAGTGTCTCTGAGCTTTACTCACTGGATGTCAGTACAGTCTACCAGTTGTGACAACCAAAAATACACTCAGGCATTGCCAAATATTCTAAGAAGGGCAAAATCTCTGCCCTTAATTGAGACCAACTGCAGTACACACAGGCTAAGTAATTTGTTCAGGAAGAAGTACCTTGTTAGGTCAGTTTCTCCTCTACTCTGGGTAAAGAACACTGGCTGCCATCTGTTTGTTTATGGTGATAAGAGGTGCAGGTTCAGAATTTGGTCTCCTTGATGGGAAACTCACTTGTTATTCTTAATGAGTTCAGTGTTATGTCAAGGCCTAAAGAAAATAGCAGATTGAATACTTTATAAACTAATTTAAAAAATCATCCTCTAACTTTTATTTTCCATTATTTCCAAAAATCATTTGGCTATTCTGCTTTAGTTTTTCCATGACTAGAAGTTTGGGCAGCACATCTGTAGGAAATTGTTGAATGACTAGAGCCATCGATTATACTAGGTTTCTGATGTAAAGTTAATGAATTACTCTGTTGTCTACTTGTATTTTATTCTATAATTACATACTGTCCCAGAATTCAGGTGCATATTTATAAAAGCATTCATTACACAGATAAGTAGGTGTCAGTATAATAGGATTGACAAAGTCTATTACAGAAAATTGACAACTAAAACAAATGGTTGCCCTGCTAATGGGGAAAAGTAACATTTTCATAATTGGAAAACAAAGTAGTATTCTACTGCAGTTAATTTGATATAATAAATTACAACTGTTTGTGAGAGATAGAATTTCAGGTTTAAATTATATCCTGATATGATTAAAAACAGTGCTTCTACTGACTCACAAGGTAAGGTCATGTGCCTGATTCCTTGTCACCTCAAGTTTGGGGGGATGTTTTGCTTCGTGTCTGCTTTACTCCTTTCAGATTCCTTTGATTTCTTTTAGCCCTTGTATTAGTCATGGTCCTCTAGAGAAATGTAATGAATAGAATGAAGATACAGTGATAATAGATTGCAGATATAGATATAGGTATAGATTTATTTTTAGGAATTGGCTTGTGTGATTGTGGGACCTTGGGAAGTCTGAAGTTTATAGGGCAGGCTTGCCAGCAGGCTGAAGGCCCAGGTAAGGGTTGATCACTGCAGCTGTCTTCTAATGGCAGAATTCCTTCTTTCTGAGGACTCAAGTCTTTTTCTCTTACGGCCTTCATTGGGTGAGACCCACTCACATTATGGACAGTAGTCTGTTTTATTCAAAGTACACTGATGTAAATGTTAATAACATCTAAAAAAATACCTGCACAGCTACATCTAGACTAGTGTTTGACCAAATATCTGGAAGCAGTAACCTTCCCAAGTTGACATAAAATGAACCATCATAGCCCTTGAAAGTATTATCCTCATTAGAGTCATTTAAACTCCCTCCCTCCCTCCCAGTGTGTACTACTTTTAGAAGAGTCTGGTTTAATGCAAATTTAGACAAATCGAAGAGGTTTATTTTCTTTGTTTCTATATAGTGGATTCAGAGAATTGTTTTATAATACCAATACAGTATATTAAGATTTGGTTTTTAGTGTTATGAAGTAATCATACCTGTCATAGTAATTTTTAGAAAAATTACTGTGAAGTAAAAGCTTTATGCTAGAGTTGTGAATTGTGGCGTTTTTCATTTTAAAATTGATTATCAAGATTTTGGAAGATTAACAAAGGAGCAAAGCATATTTTGTATGTAGGGTTCTTTTCTGTAGTATTTTCATTCCAGCACTGACATATATTTTGAATTAGAAATACAGTCTAGCTGATTTGTTGTGCTGCTGTATGCATAATGTCGCCTTCATCGAGACAAGTAAGTTCTGAGGTAGTTGCTTAGGTAGTGGTTAGAGCATTGAACCAATAGTCCGAACATGTGGATTTGAATCCCAGTATCTCAACTACCTAAGACTGCCTAGACTGGATATGACTTTCAAGATATTTTACTTCTCAGGAGACTTTATTTTTTTTTGTAGGGAGAAATTATTACCTAACTACCTCACAGATAATGTTTATAAGGATTAAATAAAATGTGGAAACAGTAAAATAGCCCTACATAAATGTGATATAATATTACTACCTCTGGGTGTCCTAGATTTCTGAAGCAAATGGCGTATTACTATAACTAATACCTTGTTGAGAATATTTTGATGAAAGGTTAAATAGAATATGACTCCTATAGTCTCTTAATCTGTTTTTTTATGAGAATAAATATGTATTTTGATAGATACTCACAAGGAAAGTAAATGACAAATGATAGAATAGTATAATTCATGGTAAAATATTGAATTGGTATTTTATTTTTTTAATTTGAGAAATACCGTTTGGGATTATTTATCCTATTAGAGTTTATTTGTAAAAATGCTGCTAACATTGCCTCCTCATTTCTGAGCAGTTGTGAGAATTTAGATAAATTTAAGTGTTTTATGTTGCTTGAATCAAAAGAGTGTTTAACAACTTCAAGTTACTCTGTTTTGCACAATTTTAAACAGGTGTTACGGGAATAACTGAAGCAGCTAAGGAGATCACACTGGAAAGCAAGGTACTGGTTTATTGGATATGTTTCCAAATTCAGTGACCTAGTTATTTCCATATGTATATTTTAAGATTACTCATATTATTCTTACTTAAACTGATGATTTGTTATCAAGTGTTTTTATATTCTAGCTTTTTACCCCCTCTCATTTTTTTATATCAACATATGGAAACACTTCTGTTTCCCAGTGCTTCTCTTCTTTTCCTTCTCTGTCATAGGTTTAGAAAAACATTTTTTGAGATTGTAACTGATAAAATCTAATTTTTACTAATTGAGAGGGCTTTTAGTCTGGCATAAGAGAACTAGCTTTTTATGTTTAAATACAGAACATATGTTTATATGTTCTGTAAGTGGAGGCTTTTGAAGTAGTTCTGTCTACTTGCTGAGCAGTAGATGGTATTGATTGATATAGTTAAAATTTTGTAGTTAAACATTTTCTTAAGCAATTTACTCATTACGTCTTATTTCTTAATTTACTGCTACTATGAAGTTTTGTTTGGTTTTTTTTTTTAAACTTAAAGCTAAATTTCAGCATCATTTAGAATCATGACATTTTGAATCATGAGTAGAAGCTAAATAAGTTAGGTTGTATTGTACGATTTGGGGGGGTAAAATATATCATTGGGTGGAATTTTCCAACTTGAAAGTTTTCAGTTAATTCAGACTATATCAGCTTTTCATTTCTAAAGAGAATGATTGTACTTTTCTTTATATTTTTACATAGTTTTTTGAAATTATGTGAGAAAAATAATACCAAATGTCTTTACATATGTTTTCTTAATTATTTTGTTAAGTCTCTTAGAGAACAGAGTATTTAGACAGAATAATTGTGTTTATTTTTTCCTTACAAAACATTCAACCGCAACAATTACTAGTTTCAGATACTCTTCTTTGTTTTTGTTGTTTGGATCTTTTGGGATTTGTAACTGGGCTTAACAGACAATGTTAGAAACTACAACTTTTTTTTTCCAGTGTACAATTTTATGCTTGTTAGAAATTCACTTTAAGCCCTGGCTGGCATAGCTCAGTGGATCGAGCGTGGGCTGCGAACCAAAGTGTCGCTGGTTCGATTCCCAGTCAGGGCACCTGCCTGGGTTGCAGGCCAAGTCTCTACTTGGGGGCACACAAGAGGCAACCACACATTGATGTTTCTCTCCTTCCCTTCCGCTCTCTCTAAATATAAATAAAAATAAAATCTTAAAAAAAAGAAATTCACTTTATGCTTCCCTAAATGGAGTTCATTAGTCTGACTGTTTTTCCTTTTGAAATTCTACTTTTTGGAGAATTTGAATGACTAAGGAGAAATTAAATGGCCTTGCTGCTTCAAAAGATTTTGTTTAGCCTTTAGTGTATATGCTTCAGGTTTTGGGAATGATAAATGGTAGAGTAGTTTAGATAATATTATTTTGGTAGGTTGGGTGTAATTCTTTCATAAATTTTTAATAAATGCAATAGTGGTTAATATGGTGCTTGGTATCCCACTTAACATCGTATGTCCTGCTAAAGGATGAATGCTTAGAATAATTTGCAACTAGAATATCTTTCCTGTCATTTTCTATTTAATATAAAATTTACATTATTTTTTATCATTTAGTGCTTAGAATACTTGCCATCCAGACCCCAAGTATTAATCTTTGTTGTTGATTTCCTCTGTATTTTACTATATCAAGTATGAACATCCAATGTGATTAGAATTTCCATTATAATCAGTTTGTCAGATATTGGCTCATTGAACAATTACCCAGATACTTTCTTCTATTACTTTATATTTTGGGTGTAATAGTGGCACATGACTTAAGTTTCTAGTGATAAGTAAAATTATCCCTAATTAAAATTGTCGATTGTAAATTTGGTGAAACTAGGTATCCAATTTTTGACTTAGTACATTGACTTCAGATTTTTTAATATTTTGTGAAAATGGTAAATATATTAATATATTATGCTTGTTTTTGGTTAGCATTATTCTTCCATTTTAATGCTAATATAGTTAAGAAATTGAACTGAAATCTTATGTGTTGTAAGAATTGTAATTTCTTTTTTTTTTTATATTTTATTTATTTTTCGAGAGAGGGGAAGGGAAGGAGAAAGAGTGGGAGAGAAATATCAATGTATGGTTGCTTCTCATGCGTCCTCTGCTGAGAACTGGCCTGCAACCCAGGCATGTGCCCTGACTGGGAATCGAACTGCGATACTCTGGTTCGCAGGTCCGCGCTCAATCCACTGAGCTACGCCAGCCAGGGCCGAAGAATTGTAATTTCTTAATTCAGCCAGTATATTCATAAATTAGGATATATTGTTTGATTTATAATGATACATTTAACATGTAAGTATGTCATGATTTATAAATATATACCTTTAATATAACTTTGAACTAATTTTTTAATACCAGTGAATTGGTTAACTAAAAATATTGTTTTATTGGTTACTATTTTTAAATGGTTAACTTAGATGACTATTGGTGTTTCTATAATGCTCTTTATATTTTTCTTTTTTTATTGATTAGTTTTAAAGAAGCAGGAAGGGTGAGGGAAGGAAGGAGGTGGAGAGAGAGGGAGGGGAGGGAGGGAGGGAAGGGGGAGGAGAGAGAGAAAGAGAAAGAAAAACATCAATTTGATTTGTTGTCCCACTTATTTATGCATTCATTGATTGTTTCTTGTATGTGCCCTGATGGGATTGAACCTGCAACCTTGGCATTTTGGGACCATGTTCTAACCAACTGAGCCACCTGACCAGGGCAACTTATATTTTTCATTCACAGCATTTTTAATGATTGTTTCTGGGGTTTATCATCTCACTAGAGTAGGAGTTTCTTGAGCATAAGGACTGTCTTAGCATTCTTTTTTTCACTAGTTAGAACTTTGCTGGCATGTGATGTTCAGTATTTGAAATAACGAACATATTTAAGTGACTTTAAATATAATTGATTTCAAAGGACAGTATAAAACTTCAAGATCATTCAGCATTATGTGAGGAGGAGGAAGAGGAAGAGGAAGGAGAAGCTGCAGATATGGAAGGTATCTGTGTTCCAGATTTACTTTAATCACACTAGAATACTGATTTGGGAATATTTGTAATTCATGTTAAATTTTAACATTTAATAGCTCAGAGAGGATTTTGTTTAGTTTAACTTTAATCAGTGCAGAACTTACTTTGATCTTGGAATTGTCTACTTAGAGCATAGCCTTTACAGCATTATTTCTACTGTGATAAATATTAGTCATAAATCTTTAATACTGGGTATTTCTGGAGGATACAGATTCTTAAAGCTAACTTTTAAAACTCTTTCAGAGCCAAACAACATTTGGTTATGCATTTGTATTTTCTTTTTTGATAGCATTGTCCTGTGAAAACCTTACAATAGTGACTTTTAAGGGGGCCTTTTGAACTATACAGAATCCCCTCAATATTCCCTGAGATTCTGAAATGCCATCCAAGGGTTGCCAGCTGAGAATCACTGCATTCATGAATCATTGTTATAAGAGATCAAAACCCTCTGTACTAACAGAACAGAGTCATAGAGGTCTAAAAATATATAGCTATTCTAAGTTTCATATTCTGTTAGCATGGTAATCTTTAATACGTGTGAAACCTCAGATATTTAAAAATAGATGAAAAAATTGCTGTCACCAGAGCAACCTCTCTGTTAAATTCAATCTGTCTTTATTATACACTTTCCCTTGTTTTTTTACATAAGAAAATAGTTTTTTTCCTTTTAAGTATATTTTATGTTGTAACAGTTGTTTTATTTTTCCCCACTTTATGCCCCTCCACCCTGCACCCCCCTACCCACCAGCATTCCCCCAGCTGAGTTCATTTCCATGGGTCATACATATAAGGTCTTTGCCTTCTCCATTTCCTATACTATTCTTAACCTCCTCCTTATTTTGTACCCACCATTTATGCTTCTTATTCCCTGTACCTTTTCCCCCATTCTCTCCCCTCCCCTTCTCCACTGGTAATCCTCCATGTGATTTCCATTTCTGTGATTCTGTTCCTGCTGTAGTTTGCTTTGTTTTAGGTTTGGTTGTTGATAGTTTTGAGTTTGTCATTATTTTACTGTTCATATTTTTGATCATCTTTTTTTTCTTAGATACAAGTCCCTTTAACATTTCATATAATAAGGGTTTGGTGATGATGAACTCCTTTAACTTGACCTTATCTGGGAAGCACTTTATCTGCCCTTCCATTCTAAATGATAGGTTTGCTGGATAGAGTAATCTTGGATGTAGGTCTTTGCCTTTCATGACTTCAAATAATTCTTTCCAGCCCCAAATTGCCTGCAAGTTTTCTTTTGAGAAATCAGCTGATTGATAGTCTTATGGGAACTACTTTGTAGGTAACAGTCTCTTTTTCTCTTGCTGCTTTTAAGATTCTTTTCTCTTTAATTTTCAGTGATTTAATTATGATGTGCTTTGGTGTGTGTTTCTTTGGATTGAATTTCTTTGGGACTCTCTGAGCTTCTTGGAATTCTGCTTCCTTCACCAGATTGGGGAAGTACTCCTTCATTATTTGTTGAAATAAGTTTTCAATTTCTTGGTCTTCCTCCTCCTTCTGGTACCCCTATGATTTGGATTGTGGAACATTTAAAGTTGTCTCAGAGGTTCCTAAGTCTCTCATTGTTTTAAATTCTTATTTCTTCATTCTATTCTGGTTGAATGTTTATTTCTTCCTTCTGGTCCAAACTGTTGATTTGTATCCCGATTTCTTTCTCATCACTCTTGGTTCCCTGTGCATTTTCCTTTATTTCACTTTCTCCTTTTTTGCAGGCCATATTGAACCATTTCTGTGAGCATCCTGATTACCAGTGTTTTGAACTGTGCATCTGATAGGTTGGCTATCTCTTCATTGCTTAGTTATGTTTTTTTCTGGAGCTTTGATCTGTTCATTCAGTTGGACCATTTTTTGTCTCAGTGTACATTTTACAAGTAGTAAGGGGCAGAGCCTTAGGTATTTGCCAGGGTGGGGCAACATGTGGCCTTGTGTGTGGGGGAGGGTCAGAGAGGGAGCAGTGCCGCTTGCTTAGCTCTCAGTCAGCTTTCAGTCACTTCCCCCACTTCCCACAAGCAAATTGGGCCCTTCTTGTGCTGATTCCCAGGTTAGTGGGTTTGTGTACATTCAAGGACCCTGTGAATCTCTCACACAAATTCCCCTGTGAGCCTAGGAGTTTCTCCTGCCACCTCAACCCCCACAGGTTTTTTTCAGTCAAGAGTCTTTGAGGCTTTATTTCCCCGCATGGGAGTTCTTGGTCATGTGGTCTGTCTTGCTCCCCAGTTGTTCCTCCTTGTTTATCTGCAGTTAAATGTGGGGACACCTCTGCCAGCTGCTGCCTGCCCTGGTCCTCTAGTCACCACCTTGTCACAAGTCCTCTCTGCCCCTGCTGACCATATCTGCTCCTCCTACTTGTCTGAATGAATATTTATTATTTAGCTTGTTGGTTGTTGGAGTTACGTATAGTTTGATTTTCTGTCAGTTCTGCGGTTTTTTTGTTTTAAAATTTATTGTCCTTCTTTTGGCTGTGGGAGGAGACACAGTATATCTACCTATACCTCCATCTTGGCTGGAAGTCGCCCTTGTTTTCTATGACACTGGGTTTTCCTCCTCCTTCCTTGACTGTTGACTATTTCTTGTAGGTGTTCTGGGATTCTTTGACTTCTGCACAGCTATTAAATGTTATTATTTCATGGGGTTTCATTTTTTTCTTTTTCCTACACTCACAGATCAATTTTTAACTACTTTTTAGGTTTTTGTAATAGCATAAAAAGGTCTGGCATGGAAACCTGTGCAACAGGAAAAGTGGTATATAAATTACATTAGATTCTCTGTTGAGAGTTTAACAGAGAGTGTTAGCAGTTAGAAAAAGGAAGAGAATGTGAAAAATACAGAGGGCAGGCGACTGCCCTCTTGGAGGCTTACAAATCTTGGAGACTGTAAGGTGGCTGGATCCAAAAATACGTAGAATTTATTATGAGGAAGAGATGTTTTGGAGCGTGCACAAGTAGAAGATGGTGCCAAGTAGAGTTGAAGAATAGTAATGGCAAGTGGTGTTTGTTGATGAGCTAACAGCATAGCCTAAGCCACAGAGCAGCCTCTCAGTGTTATTTTCTAAATCACTTTGGGTCACGTGAAACCTAGCCATATATGTTTTCCTAAATTCTAGTCAGTCTTGTTCTTATTTCCATGGTTAACTCCCATTCTTTGAAAAAATCTAAATGAATTACTTGTAACCAGAATTGCTCATAGCAACCTCAGATACCATTTCTGTGCTCATGACTTTCATGTCTGAACCTCCAACCCAGATCTCCTGAACTCTGTATCTTCTTGTTTAGTTTCATTTCTACCTGGATGACTCATGATTGTCAGAACCACCTTCTTGCACAATATTCTTTGGGATTCCATCCGTGTCTGAATGGCATGCAGTTGTCCAAGCTGAGGTGGGGTGTAGGAAGGACCCTATGAGTAAAGCACTGTTTTTAGAGTGTAGGCTGTGGGGCCGCCTCAAATATCTGACAGCCTTTTAGTATGTTTGTCATACTTACCCTGAAGTAAAGTTGAAGAAATAATTTCTGTGTGTGGGAATTTTGCTTAAAAGTTCTGATGGTATCTCATATAAGTTAATTTCATCCATTATTCAGCAAATATTTATTGAGCAAAACAGTATATATGTATCAGAGCCTTAGGAGCAGGAGATAAAATGGTAAACAAAAAGTACAGGAGCAATACATTTACTGTATTACATGGTCATAAGTTTTAGGGAGAAAAGGGAGGATAAAGGGAGCCTTGGGGTGGGATGGATGTTGTAGTTTTTAAATAGATTTGTCAAGAAAAACCTTATTGAGAAAATGCCATTTGAGTAAAGCCTGGTAGGAAGTGAGTGGACAAGCTATCTGGATATTTGAGGAGGAGCATGTGTGGCTTATAAAATACTGTGAGGAGAATCCTATGTTCAGGGAGCAGTGAGGGGAGAGTAGTAAGCCATACAGTCAGAGAGGTAACCTCGGGGGGCAGATCATGTAGGACCCTGGCTTAAACTCACAAGTGAAATGAGAAGCCATTGGAGGGCTTTTCTAAGCAGAGGAGTGACTTAGCATGACATTAACATTTTAACAGAACCAGTGACTGCAGTGTTGAGAATAGAGTGAAGGGGGATAGGATAGCAGTTAGGAGGCGATTTTGATTACTAGGCAAAACATGATGGTAGCTTGGACTCAAGTGGTAACATTGGAAGTGATGAGAAACGGAATTTTAGACATATTTGAGGGTAGGGGCAAAAGAATTTGCTGCTGGAATGGATGTGGCATGAGAGAGAATAATCAGTGTGACTCCAAGGCTTTTGACCCATCTGGAACAATGTCACTCACTAAAATGGGGAAACTGTTAGGACTTGAATAGCTGTGGAGGGAAGTTGGGAGCTCTGTTTTGGACATGCGATATTTGTGATGCCCTTAGTCAGTCTTTGGAGCCGTAAGTTAAACAATTAGGTAGCCAGGTCTGTAGTCTGGGAATACATTTGGGAGTCGTCAGCAGTTAACATTATCGAGACTAGTGAAATCATCAAGGGAGCAAGTGTGGAAAGGGAAGAGTACAAGGGCCCAAAACTGAGCTCTTCATTATTGTGGAGTTGTTTTTGGTTTTGGTTTTGGTTTTTAAATGGTCAAGATGAAGAGGAACCAGCACAGGGTAATAGTGAAGAAAAAGCTACTGAGGTGGGAGGAAAGCTTGGAAAATACAGTATCTTAAAAGCTGAGGGAGGTCAATTAAGATGAAAACTGGGACTTGAGCACTGGATTCAGCACAGTAGAAGTGACTGATGACTTTAATGAGCATGTTTTATGCAGTTATATAAATCACCTTGTGTATGCTATGGAGTCTTGGAGGACTTCACAGTTTTATTATGCCAGTAGTATTAATAATAGACTGTAGCCCTGACTAATCCTATATATCCTAACTTTCTCTGATCTGGCTCTCTGCCAGGTAAAGTATCTGCTGCTTTAGAAATATGTGTAGAATTAGCTCACTTATATTTATTCATTATCTTTGGTTAGAAACAAAAACCAAAACCCAGTTTTTCATTGCTACTCTGAAATAATACATAATTTAGTTCAGGAAATGATTTTGAATTTGATTAACCTTTTGTTGCTTTTTATAACAGAATATGAAGAGAGTGGATTGTTGGAAACAGATGAGGTTTGTAAATTATGTTTTCTTCTGTTAATTTTTAGTGAATAAACTTGGGGATTAGTGTTTTCATTAATGTCTTGATCTGTCAAGTTTATACATGTATGCATTGGTTATAGCATATAACACTTTGAGTTTTAAGTTATATCTGCTTTTGAGAAAGAAATACATGGGGTAGGAAAAATAAATTTTCTAAAATGTTACATTCATACTGATTTTAATGGTTGTAAATTTTTCTCCCTTACTGCAAGGCTACCCTAGACACAAGGAAAATGGTGGAAGCCTGTAAAACTAAAACTGATGCTGGAGGTGAAGACGTTATTCTGCAAACCAGAACTTACGACCTTTACATCACCTACGATAAATATTACCAGACGCCACGGCTATGGTTGTTTGGCTATGACGAGGTAAAAAATAAAGAAAAACTTAATTTTAATGTACATATTTTAAATTGTGGAGTTTAATTTCTACATTAGGTCTATAGATATATATATTGTGTCCTTTTAAATTTTAGAAATGTTTTGTTTTGCAATTTTATGGTTAGTATTGCACTTGATTTTTATTTTGAAGGAACTATGAATTATTCAATATGACAACTTCACTGCTAAGGATTAAACCTAAATAATTTGTTACATATTTATTGCTTGGTCTCTGAGCTTATTCTTCAAAATGTGAGGGATATTAAACCTGGTGATTAAATTTGTTTGGGAATATACATATTGGATATCTAGGCATTTACAGAATGATCATGTCACATGTGGGTTTTTTTTCCCTTAGGACAGAAAAGTTTTTTAAAAAGGTCATCCACTTAATCGAATGAAAAGATAACTAAAATAAAATTAACTTGTTTAATCTGTCATTACAATGACTGTAAATGGGAAATGAAAATCAAAATATGCCTAAAAGATGGGTTATAGTTATGAAATATTTGGATAACTATGAACTGCCTTTATGTAGGGCCGGTACTACATTAGGTGGTGGTTGATGTCACGTAGCCTGATGGACAGACATATTCCCCTCTTCCTTCCTTGGTATAAGCTTTCCCCCAGATAATCTGATAATTCTCAGTAGCCTAGAATTCTGAATTACATGTGATGTGTGAGGTGGGGACAAATATAAACATTGAAGTTTAGGCCTAGAAGTTTTTAAACAGTAATTTCAAAGCATTTTTTATGGTTTCAGCAACGGCAGCCTTTAACAGTTGAGCACATGTATGAAGATATCAGTCAAGATCATGTGAAGAAAACAGTGACCATTGAAAATCACCCTCATCTCCCACCACCTCCTATGTGTTCAGTTCACCCATGCAGGTCTGTGTATGTATATACATATATATACATATGTATGTGTGTGAGTTTGTGTGTGTAATTCATGGATTTACTACATGGGGAGTTTATAAATGTAGTACCCTAACAAAAAAACTTTACTAAATAAGCAAATAAAGTTTCTTAAGTCTTCCTTAGAAATGTTCTTACACCTAGTTTAATATATAAGAAAAAGGAAAAACTTTACAAATTTATTTTAAATTTAATTCATTAAGAATATTTTTTGGTCCTGGCCAGTGTGGCTCATTTGGTTGGAGTGTCGTCCCTTACACAGAAAGGTTTCCGGTTCAATTCCCGACCAGGGCCCAGACCTGGGTTGCAGGTTGCCTCCCAGTTGGGGCACCAATGGGAGGCAACCCACCGATGCCTCTCCTTCACGTCGATGTTTCTCTCTCCCCCTTCCTGTGTCTCTAAAAGCAAAGAAAAAATGTCCTCAGTCAGGTGAGGATCAAAAAAAATGTTTTTTTGTTCTTTGTATATATTCAGTTATGGTTTAGATCTTTGCGATTTTACTCCTGTTTTTAGCTCCAAGAATAGTTGTATGATCATTTTTATATTAAAAAATACTCATTTAGACATGGTTTGCTGAACTGTGGTGTATCTTTTTGTGAATACGGAGTAAACAGTTAAATTTGTGTTTTTAGGTGACCTATTTATCTCCTTTTATTGGTTAGTGAAGGAAACTGTATATGTAGAGTTTCTGTTCTTCTTTACTCTTTTTTTAAAATTAATTTTTTTCTTTTTTTATTGTATGTTTTCCATTACCATTTATCCTGCCCCCGTACTCTTCCACCTCCACCCACCCCTGTCACCCGCCCACCCCCATAATCACCACACTGTTCTTCAGTTAAGAAGGTGTCAGCCCTACCAAATTAAGTACATTTTATAATTGGTATCAGTGTGTTTTCACAGGGCCAAATAAGTGAAGCTGAACCTATGCATGTGATTTGTTTAGAAGTTTCCCTAAATAGAATAAAAAGTGTTACATGCTAATTTTCTTTATTAATTGTTTCAAATTGGCAACTTCCACAGAATCATTGAGAAATTCTTGTAAAATATTTTTTCAGATTAAAAACTCTGGTATTCGTTCCATTGACTAATTTGATGCAACATTCTAGTTTTCAAAAATTGTTTAATGTTTTGTTCCCATTTTTTACAACCTCTTTATTCTCAAACTTTATCCCATAGAAAGTCTAGTTCATTTTTCTAGTTGATGTCAAGAAGTGTTAATATGGCTGTGAAAAGTAATTTAAGGGTCATTAGTTTTAGTTTTGAATTACCTAAAAGGTTTTCATTTTTGAGTTTTATTTAGTTGATTCCTCTTTCAGCTTAAGGCTTTAGGATGGTGCTTATTAAACTGAGATGTGTATCTTTCTGAGGTCTAAATTTTACTCAGTTGGCAAAAGAAGTAAGCAGTTTAATTGGAAATTAATGTTAAACATTTTAATAAATGACGGTATTATGGATTACAATGTAAGTGTGGCAAAAGTAAAAAGCTGGGGGCCAGTAAAACAGGGCTTCAGGAACAGTTTAGGCCTTGCCATGGGTCACCTCAGATTATGCCTTCATAGCCCCAGGGTTAATGTGTTTACACTTGAGTCTTCTTTGAGTGCCTCTGTCGTGAGGGTTTTATTCATAAAAATTGAAGCAGCATTTTTTATGCCAGGGTGTATATGAAAGATCATTCATTACTTTTGTACGTTGCCCTTGTCTCAGTTTATGTGCCCAGACAATTTTTAAAATTTTTTATTTATCTTTAGAGGGGAAGGGAAGGAGAGAGGGAGAGAAATACCAATGTATGGTTGCCTCTCATGCATCCCCTGCTGGGAACTGGCCCCTGCTGGGAATTGGCCTGCAACCTAGACATGTGCTCTGACTGGGAATCGAACCGTGATCTTTTGGTTCACAGGCCCATGCTCAATCCACTGAGCTGTACCGGCTGGGGCACCGAGACAGTTATTTTGATAGCACTCTTATGTATAGCACAGGAGAAACACCAGTTGACTATGAAAAAAATTGTGGATAGGACAAAAACTTCAGATAAATATCATTCTTTATGTAAATCCAAAAGTATTTATGATAGAATCAGATACATTTTATAGTACAGATGAAGACAAATAAAAAATACAAACTTCTTGACTGATGAATCAGCTTTTCATTAATTGTTTGGCTTATTCTCACCTAAATATTTAAGCAGTCAAAACAACAGCATTATAAATATTTTCCTTTCCTTTTCTTTTTTTTCTTAACTGTCACCATATAGCTTTTTGGAATTTGCCTGGTCTGATTCTTTTTTGTGTTTTAGCAGACAGGCCCTTGCTCTGCAATTCTGCCCTGGCGTGATTTCCCTTTCTCTGGGTTTCTCACCCCTGCCCTCCCTTAGGCCCCACTTTCCACCCCTGTCTTTCCACTTCCATTAGAGTAAAGCTAACTGGTGCCATTGTGTGTGTTTGTAACCACTGAAGCTTTTTAAAATTATCCCCTCCTCCAAGAGATCTGTCTGCATGACTCAGCAATCTGACTTATTGGGAAGTAGAGAAAATATCTAACAATGCAACTATTATCTATTAAAACTAATTTACTGACAAATAAGGTAGATTTCTTTATAAAGATATCTCTTATTTTGTGTTCTGTAATTGATCTGTATTAATAAGATTTGTACTTTTGCTTTTAGGCATGCTGAGGTGATGAAGAAAATCATTGAGACTGTTGCAGAAGGAGGGGGAGAACTTGGTGTTCATATGTATCCTTACTTGTTATGTGCTTAGCAGCAAATTGGCTGCCCCTTTTGGAGGTGGAGGGAGGGTTAGTGTAATCTTAATGGCACAGTACCTATAATTTGTTTTAGCCTCTCATATCAGGAAGTCTTAGTAGGACTCTCTAATTATTTGGAATACATCGTGATTGTTCTGTTTTGTTCAGTTGGTTAGCACAGTCCCTGTGTGCATTAGGGCTGCCTTTTTACAGGAACTGAAACAAGTTTGCCGAACGCTTTTGTTCATCAGAGACAATGGCCAAGAGTATGTGAATATAAAACCATTGCTCTTGATGAAAAAGAAATCTAGTGGGCTTAATTTATTGGTGAAAGATGAGTAATCTTAATTTAGAGGATAACACAGTGTCTTTTTCACTAAGTATATTTCCAGTTTAACATGTTACCAAAAATGTGCTTTCCCTTCAGGTAAAAGTAGAGTTGTGGCAGCCTAAGTCTCCCTGAAGCAAAGAATTCAACTTAAATAGGTTAAAAGGGAAAGCACATGAAACATATTTTAGATATTCTTAAAATACAGTATTTTCATTTTTCCCCCAGTTTTCATTTTTATTTCATTTTTCCATAGGAGGAGTACCCTTCCTATATCTTATGTTTGTCTTTTGGGGTTAACTCAGTTCTCTGGGGTTATCAAGATGAATAAGTTAAACTGATGAATCCTGAAATGCACGTATCCATAGCCTGGATTCACCAAAATTAGCCAAAGTCAGTGCTTTAGTTGCAAAATAGCTTGAATCAGTTTGGTGCTAGATTGCTATTAAATGTTCCCCTCAGTGTTAGATGTAGACTAAGGGTTCCTTCCCATCTTGGAATTACAGATAAGCTAAACATTGCAAATAAAGTGCATCCCTCAGAGGTGCATTGACCTGATTTGATAGTGAAACAAACCAAGAGTTTTTGATCCCAACCAGATTTATTCCTGAACTGTTAGTGCGCATAATATGAGCACTCGTCTCTGTGTTAGAGGTTAGGTAGCAACGTTGAAGACACTATGTAATTTAAGGCTCTCTTACATAAGCAAATTTATAGGCAGTAAAAGAACCATTATCTAGTCATTTAAACAGAGACACCTTGTCTTTATTTTTACATCAAAATAATTGGGCTTGTGTGAACTCTTACTCGTGAAGAATTTTTACATTCAAGTATTAAATGGGAATGGAAAATCAGAGAGCTCCTCATGTGGAATAGACACAAACTTTCATGAGTGAAATTTTAAAACACAACTTGATTTAAGATTTTATCTTGTGTTTTTTCTGAGAAATTATTGCTTAATAAAATAGATAATTACAGTGCCAGCTTAAACCATAGAGCTATTTCCCAATCTGTTTTCCTTAGCCAGAGCCCTTTAGGTATCTTCTGATTTTCTTGAAATTTGTACAAGCTGTCATTCCAACAATAGAGTATGACTACACAAGACACTTCACAATGTAATGAAGAGCGCAATCTATCCTAATTACTGGTTCTGATTTGTAAAGAATTAATCCATAGACGTGACCATTGACCATATTCACCAATATGTACAATTTCTCTAATAAAGGGGCTTATATGTTTATGCATTAAATAAAAAAAGTTCCACTACCAGCCTTATTTGTTTAATAAAAATGAGTATAAACAGATTATTTCTCTGGCTTCTTATCAAAAAGTGATACAGTATTTCTTTTACATAACAACTCTTTAAGTGAAGAAGTATCTCATACAGAAGGTTGATAAAAATATTTTTGGTTCACATTTATGAAGAAGGTATTTAAATGTGTGCTCATGTGGGAACAAGACGTAGAGAATACTGCATGCTGGACTTACCTTCCCTTCTTTCTCTTCTGGTTCCTCCTGTCTTACACTCTCCCCAAGACTCTTATCCACTAATAGTTAATATTTATTTTTTTCAGTTGATGATATATGTTTTATTTATTTTCTTTTTTATTGTTGTTCAAGTACAGTCTCCATTTTCACCCCACCACGTCCCCCCTGCCTGACTCATCCCCTCCTCCCACTGTCGAACCCACCCCCTTTGGCTTTGTCCATGTGTCCTTCATACATGTTCCTTGATGGCACCCCTTGTTATCCCTCTCCCTGCTCCTTTCTGCTTACTGTCAGATTGTTCTTTATTTCAGTGTCTCTGGTTATATTTTGATTGCTTGTTTGTTTTGTTGATTGGGTTCCACTTATAGGTGAGATCATATGGTATTTGTCTTTCACTGCCTGGCTTATTTCCCTTAGTGTAATGCTTTCTAGTTCCATCTATGCTGTCACAAAGAGTAGGAGTTCCTTCTTTCTTTCTGCTGCGTAGTATTCCACTGTGTAAATGTACCACAGTTTTTTGATCCACTCATTCACTGATGGGTACTTAGGTTGCTTCTAGCACTTGGCTATTGTAAATTGTGCTGCTATGAACATTGGGGCACCCAGGTTCTTTTGAATTGGTGTTTCAGGATTCTTAGGGTATAATCCCAGCAGTGGAATTGCTGGGTCAAAACACAGTTTTATTTTTATTTTTTGAGGAAATTTCGTACTGTTTTCCACAGTGGTTACACTAGTCTGCAATCCCACCAACAGTGCACTAGGGTTCTCTTTTTTCCACAACCTCCTCAGCACTTGCTGTTTGTTAATTTGTTTATGATGGCCATTCTGACCAGTGTGAGGTGGTATCTCATCAAGAATCTATTTGATAGATTCTCCTAAAAATGTTAGGTTAAGTATAGCAGGCTGGTAGAAGGGATTCTGTAAAAAGCACATGAGCTCTCATAAGCTAATTCATAGGTAAAGCTTACTACTTGTGAAGGTATAGAATGGAGACTACTTCGTATTTATAACTTTTTCTGTTTCCAGAGCTTTAAAGGAGTGCGTATTCTTGCAATGAAAAGTGATATATGCCTGCAATGAGGTAAATCTTTGATTAGCATATAGAAGTAAGCCAAAAACTCTTGTGAAGGGTAGAATTACAAACTTTCTAGAAGAAAGCGTAGGAAAACTATTTTGTCATCTAGGATATAGAAGGGCATTTTAAATACAGTCTCCACCCAGCATGGATCATAATACAGAAAAAATTAATTTTGTTACACCAAAATTATGAATTTATTTTTTAAAAATACCCTTTAGTGAAATTAAATAGACAAATAACAGTTCTGAGTGGATACTTATTAAGTCTAAAACTGACAGGTCTCATTTTTTTTGACTATACAAGAGATTCTATAAATCAGGAAGAAAGAACATCAGGGTATTAGTTGATCTGTTGCTGTATAACAAATTACCTCAAAATGTAGTGGCTTAAAACAATAATAAGCATTCCCTATGTCTCTCAGTTTCTATAGGTGAGGAATTTGGGGTGGCCCAGCTGTGTGCTCCTGTGTCACAGCATCATGATGTCGCAGTCGGCATACTGGCCACAACTGCGGAAGATGAAGGCTCCACTGGAGCTGGAGCATCCAAGTCTATGCACTTGCCAGATGGCAAGTTGGTGCTGCTGGTGGCTGTTTCTCCTTGTGGATCTCTTGATAAGCCTCTTTGAGTGTCTTCAAGACATGACAGTGGGCTTCTCCAAGAGCAGGTCATCTAAGAGTAAGGCAGAAGCCAAGGTATCTTATGACTTCATCTCAGAATTTGTACACTAATTTTTTCAAAAATCAGCCCTGCCCCGTATGATAGGGAACTACAGAAAAGTGTGAATACCACGAGGCAAGGATCAGTGTGGGCCATCTCATAGGCTCACTACCACAGCCCAGAATCCTGATTTTTTTAAAGAAGATGACATGAATAAGCAATGTTTAGAAGAAACACAGAAGTCTACTAAGCGTGTTAAGATACTTAAAAGCATCAGGGAGATGTTACTTAACAAGGTGCTTCTTTACACCAAATTAGCTGGCAAACTTTTAGTTGAATAATGATAAGTATTCAAAGATGTGAAGACAGATGTGCAGACAGAGTCTGCACTGCTGATGGGGTGCAGACTCACAGCCATTACCACTCCCACCCTACTTCAGATGCTAATCACCAGCAGGAAGCAGGCCCCTGTGTTACCCACAACGTCGGTCTTATTTGGCTGGAGATCAGAGGTTCCCATGACCTGTCTCCTCAGATTTACAGGTCACAGAGCTCAGGAACACATGTTCACCAGTTTATTAAAGGATAAGATGAAGTATATAGACAAACAGCCAGAAGAAGAGATACATACAGGTCTGGAGATGGGGGGAGGGGTACAGGGTCGGGGAGGGCAGTCTGGAGCATAGGAGCTGTGTCTGCATAGAATTGGGGTGCATCACCTTCCTGGTATGGATGTGTTCACCAGCCCAGAAGTCTGAGCCCCTACTATTTGGATTTTATGGAGGTTTCCTCACATAGTCATGATCAATTAACTTTGTTTCTAGCCCCTCTACCCTCTTCTGAGGATGAGGGGTGGGACACACAATTTAAAGCTTCTAGTCATGGCTTGATTTTTCTTTTTTTTTTTTTGCAAGTTTTGTGATTATCTTTTTTTTTAATTTATTTATTGTTCAAGTACAGTTTTCTGTCTTTTACTCCCATCCCAGCCCACCCACCCCCAGTGCTCCCTACCTCCCTCCCATTTCCACCCCCCTTAGTTATTGTCCCTGTGTCCTTTATACTAGTTTCTGTAAATTCTTCCCCTTTTTCCCCTGAAATTCCCTAACCCTCTCCCCTCTGGTCACTGTCCCCCTGTTCTGTATTTCAGTGTCTTTGGTTATATTTTGCTTGCTTGTTTGTTTTGTTGTTTAGGTTCCTGTTAAAGGTGAGATCAGATGGTATTTGTCTTTCAATGCCTGACTTACTTCACTCAGCACAGTGGTTTCCAGTTGTATTCATGCTGTTGCAAAGGGTAGAAGCTCCTTTCTTTCTGCTGCATAGAATTCCATTGTGTAAATGTACCATAATTTTTTGATCCCTTCATTTACTGACGGGCACCTAGGTTGCTTCCAGCTGTTGGCTATTGGAAATTGTGCTGCTATGAACATTGGGGTGCGTAGGTTCTTTTGGATTGGTGTTTTAGGGTTCTTAGGATATAATCCTAGCAGTGCAATTGCTGGGTCAAAAGGCAGGTCCATTTTTAGTCTTCTGAGAAAATTCCATACTGTTTTCCACAGTAGTTGGCTTGATTTTCTAATCGCCAGCCCCTATCCAAGAGCCCACCAAGCTGCTTTGGGAGAACAAGAAATACTCCTGCTCTTATCACTTAGTAATTTACAAAGGGTTTTAGGAGCCTCGTGTCAAGAACTAGGGGCACAGACCAGTACATGTATTTATTATAGTTTCACTGGGGACATGCTGGAGGATGCATTTATCATTGGTTACAAGGTATCACACAGTAATTAGAAACAAGACACACATGAAACAACATGGATAGATCTTTAACATAGTTCTGAATCAGAAAGTCTCAGTCCTGGCTGATGTGGCTCAGTGGATTGAGCGCCAGCCTGCAAACCAAGTAGCAGGGTTGCTACTTGTATTCCCAGTCAGGGCACATGCCTGGGTTGCAGGCCAGGTCCCCAGTGGCAACCACACATTGATGTTTCTCTCCCTTTCTCCCTCCCTTCCCGTCTTTCTAAATATAAAAAAATAAAATCTTTTTAAAAAGTGTCAGTTCTTTCCTTTGTCGTTTCCCCTGTTTTTTTCCATTTTTATTTGGTTATTGTAAAGGCCTGTCCAAATAAGGCTAGGAAATTTTTAGGCGCCAACACCAGCTGCTCGCCAACAGCAGTCCAATCAGGAACTTTTGCCCTAGTTTGATTGAGCCAATAGCTAACCGCCACGTCTGCTTCTGTATCCCCTGCTTGCTTGCTTGCCTGCCCCTATAAAAACCCAGTAGTCTGTAAGCCAGGCGCGACTTCCACTTTGGCGGCTCTGCGTAGCCGCGAGACTACGGTCTCGTTTGGGAAGTTCGCCCCTGCGCAGGTAAAACTTGGCCAATAAATTTACCATCAAACCGCTCTCAGTGTTCGGGGATTCCTTTCGCTCGCAACTTGAATACAACATTTGGAGGCCCCAGCGAGATCTAAGGAGTGTCTCCGGAGACTGAGACTACGAAGCCCGGGTAAGTTTGCCGCGGAATTTGGTTTGGGAGTCTAGACTCATTTGAGCCGCGAGGTGGTAGGCGAGACGTCGCCGGTAGTCCACCCGCGGGGTTCTCAAGGAGAGGACGCTCTCGAGAACCGGAGCTCTTGCTCCCGCGACTAGGTCGCATTTGGTTTTTGGTATTCGTTCCGCGCCGCGACTGAACGCGCTAGCGAAGTGTGAATGAGTGAAGAGACTGTAGTGCGCCACGGCCTGTTTGTGCGTGAGTGGACTGAGTGGAGAGGAGCGAGGTGTGTGTTTCTATGCGGGATATTGGTAGCCCTCATCCTTCTAATCGCAGGCGCTGTGAGAAGCGAGAAAAAGGCGTCCGCGATGGGACAAGGAAGCTCCACCCCAAGCACTGCCCTTGACTGCTTACTAAACAATTTCTCTGACTTTCAGAATCGCGCTCGGGGCTATGGGGGTCCACCGCCAGACCCAGAAGTCCTGCGAACTTTCAGTGAGATTGAATGGCCGTCTTTTGACGTAGGATGGCCGACGGAGGGGACTTTTGATCTGCCCCTCCTTTTCGCGGTCAGGCGGATAGTATATGGGACCCCCATCCAGATCAGATGGTATATATAGATGTGTGGGTAGACATAGCTACTGACCGCCCCGGTTACATACGCCGGTGTCAGTCCAATGGGCAGAGGAGGAGAAGGGCCATCTGCGTGGCAACGGCGCCGAGGCAGGCTCCCCGTCTGCAGGCAGACAAAGGGCGCCGGCCTCAACGGGACCAGGCAGACGGGGAAGGGAAGAAGCTATACCCTGTCTTGCCTGAAGTACCTGAGGACCCGCTGTTGGCCCCTTCCGCTCCTCCCCCATATCGCCAACCCCTGCCCGACTCCGCGAGCGGGGAAAGGGAGAGAGTCCAGAGCCCTCCCCATACCCGCGGCGGTACTCAGTATGGGGGTGAAAGTTTGGCGCCAAGACAGGATGGCGCCGCCATTTTGCTGGAAACGGTCGCGCCAAAACCAGGTGGCGCCGCCATTTTGCCTCTCAGGGAGGTGCCGCCGGCTCCAGACGCCCCATTACATGCACCACCGCGGCTAATATATGTCCCTTTCTCAACCAGTGATCTATACAATTGGAAACTGCAAAATCCCCCGTTTTCTGAAAAGCCCCAGGGATTAATTTCCCTGTTAGAGACCATATTTAGAACCCACCAGCCGACATGGGATGATTGCCAGCAAATTTTACAAACTTTGTTCACTTCAGAAGAAAGTGATAGTTAAATCTAAATAAGCAGAAATATGTACAGAGGATATAAAAGTTTTAAACCTAGAGTAAAGGAAACTTCAACTACTTGTTTTCTGGTTTCATGGGAAAAAGCAAATTTCCCATGTGCGGTTCTGTTTCTGATTAGAAACCTGTATTGAAGACCTAAGGAAGGTCACTGTAACCGGTTGGGGAGAATGCTTTTGCCACCTGGGACCCAGGAAGGGTCATTTGGGGCTGACGAGTGCTTCAGCCTGAGGCAAAGGGCATGTCTCTGCCATGAGACCGGGCCTGAAGGAGCATGTCTCTGTGAGGCACCAGTGGAAGCATTGGTGCGAGAGAATATCTCTACCTGTATTGTTTCAGAACACTGTGTTTCAGATTTTGCTCTGTATCTACTCTGAAAAAGAAATTGAAGATTCCAAGAAAGGTTGAAACTTCATACTTTGTAAAAAAAAGTGAACAAAAGAAAGTATAAGATATGAAAATGAAGAAGTTTTTTGAATGTTGCTGAAGGGCTGTGAGAAGCTGTGAAGATAAAAGAGAGTGTATAAAAAGTTATAAAAATTTGCAAAAATTTTAAAAAAAAATTATGTGAAGTTAATAATAGAAGGTATAAAGCATAGAGATGCAATCTTAGTGGATATCAGAAAGAAAAAAAGATTTTCCATTATGCTTTATATTTTTCTCCCTACCTGATCTCTCCAGAATTGGCATTCTAAAGGAGTAAGTGATGACAAGGTTTCTTTGCATAAAACCAATAAGACCAGTCTTTAATAGTGATTTTGTTAACCAGGACTTTGACTGGAACATCACGCCTGAAGGAGGCATGTATGTGTTCTGGTCGTTACCAGAAAGCTCAGAGGAACTGGGATTGACCTGTGAAGCTAGTAAAAGCCCACAAGAAAAGCCTAGTACTTTAGTTGGTTGTGCGGTTCGTGCCAATATTTCTAGGGAAGGAACGAAGGTTGCTTTCCTGAAAGATGGCTAAAAAGGAACCTGTAGGCACAATGGAGGCTCAAGGACTTGAGCGAAACAACTGGTACAGGCAAAGCCAGATGGCAGGTGTGTGGCTCTGCGTTTGTGCCCTGAGGGGGCGGAGTGAGAAGTCAATCTGAAGGTTCCCTGTGTCAGTTCCAGCAAAGTAGACTTAGGGATCATCAATGATCCAGGCTGCTCTTGGTGTGTTTATGCAAACGAACAGTCAAAATCAAAAGCGGGACCCAAGTAGTCCCTGTAAATAACAGTGAGGGTGATCTTAGGGAGAAAAATTATAATTCAAGGAAAATCACAATGCTCAGTATTGGACATCAGAATGGCGCAGCTAATTGTCTTGAAAGTTTGTTTTCATTTGAAAGTTGAAACCAGGTTTATGATATTAGATGCACAATTTACAGGTGCAAAGGATCTTGCAATGGAATGTTTTCCCCAAAAGACAGTCTCACAGCGCAGAGACTGGTTTGGGAATTGTTGTGTGAATTAACCTGTGTGTTCTCTGTTTTCATAGAGTGTATGCCTATGACCTGCCTATGCCTGTGAGTGATTGGTTGCAATATAGGCCTCACTTAAGGAGCCCATCTTCATCATCACCCCCCTAAGACTCAACGGTTTGGCTGAACTATGTAGTTGGGTTGGTGAAGGGCTGGGGCGGTCTGTGGGATTCACTTGAAACTGATTTTCCCTTTTCTGTCTTGATGGCTTGGACAGAAAGGGCTCAGAAATCTGAAAGGAGGGAAATCTTAATGTATTCCCCTCAGCCTGAGTGAAGTATAGTAAAGCACAAAAGTTTTTAGATAGGTGTAGCATGCCTCGTACACCTTCCACTGAATAAGCCATTCTTTACTGGAGTATCTGCCTTTGTCAATTAATGGTTATGATTTAATTGTGCTTCCAATTTCTTGCCTAATCTGTCACCTCCAGAATATGACCTGACCGGAATGCCAACAGTTCAGTAATGCCAGCCTTTGGACACCAAGCCTACGACGTCAGGTGACAGCCAACTGACCAGGACCCTGTAAGGTCTTTCCCCTTGCAGGAAGGACTCCCTCTGTGCTGCACTCCCCTCCCCTTTCAGGGCACCCCTGACCCCGGAGTACGTAGGACAGCGTCCATTTTCAGCTCGAAGCAGTTACAAGAAGATGAGATCTGCGTCCCTTTTCCTTTATATAATTATAAAGTAGGTGGGGGGTGCCTGAGACAAAACCCCTTCCCGAGAACCCGGACCAGGACCAGATGAAAGACTTCAAACAGTGTACATTTGAAAGTACCCTTACATTAGCAGAATTCCATGGACGAGGCACCTGTTATCTGCTAGCGAACTATACCCTTGCAGCCTCAAACTATAGTGACTATTGCCTTAACCAAGAGCATTTGCCGAGAGACCCTAGGAATTTGACTATTACATTAGCTCCAGAAGGACTATGGTTTGTCTGCACTCAAGGTATCTTCAAGTGTCTAGTACCAACTAACCCTGAGCTATGTGTTAGTGCTTACATCATTCCCCAAGTGTACTTATATGGGGGAAACCCTGATTTTCTGATACATGCCCCCATTCGAGCCAAGCGAGTCCCATTGCTAATTCCCATCGTCGCCACTATCGGTGTCGTAGGGTCGGCTGCTGTAGGAGCAGGGGCATTGATCCATGGGGAAAACAGTCTCAGGGCCTTGTCACAGACTTTCTCCAAAGACGTCTCCTTACTCCAAGAGCAAGTAGAATATTTAGAGCGCCAAGTAGACTCCCTAGCAGAAGTAGTACTCCAAAATCGAAGAGGGTTAGATCTAGTATTCCTGCAACAAAGAAGAATATGTGCAGCTCTTAGAGAAGATTGTTGTTTCTATGCCAACCACTCAGGAATAATTAGAGAAAATATAAAAGTACTCACTAGACGACTTAAAAATAGAGAACAAGAGGATGAGTCATCCTCCTGGTATTCTTCCCTATCTAAGACTTCCCCTTGGCTAACTACGTTGATATCGGCTCTAGCCGGACCCTTGATCCTCCTCCTATTAGCCCTGACGATAGGCCCAATACTTCTAAACAAGCTCATAGCCTTTATTAAAGATAGAGTAGAAACAGTAAAACTTATGGTGTTGTCTCAGCCCTATACAATCCTCCCTCAAGAGGAGCATGAGTCAAGGGTTTGACTAATAAGAAAGAGAAGGAGGGAATGTAAAGGCCTGTCCAAATAGCTATAAGGCTAGGAAATTTTTAGGGCGCCAACACCAGCTGCTCGCCAACAGCAGTCCAATCAGGAACTTTTGCCCTAGTTTGATTGAGCCAATAGCTAACCGCCACGTCTGCTTCTGTATCCCCTGCTTGCTTGCTTGCCTGCCCCTATAAAAACCCAGTAGTCTGTAAGCCAGGCGCGACTTCCACTTTGGCGGCTCTGCGTAGCCGCGAGACTACGGTCTCGTTTGGGAAGTTCGCCCCTGCGCAGGTAAAACTTGGCCAATAAATTTACCATCAAACCGCTCTCAGTGTTCGGGGATTCCTTTCGCTCGCAACTTGAATACAACAGTTATCTATTTGACATCACAAAAATAACATATCTAAACCAAAACTCCCAATTTATGACTACAGCCACCTAGCAACTACCACAACTAAACTAACAATAAAAACACATTACTCCAATCCCTATCCCAGTCAATGGCACTACTGCCAGCCCAGTTGAGCCCCAGACCTTAGGAGCCAGCTGTAATTCCTCATTCTGTCCACCCTGACCCCACTAACACGCTCTCTCTCTCCGTAACAAGTCCTGTCCTTCGTGATCCATCCTGATGCCTGGGATTCTGTGTACTGAACCAGCAACTCACGTGATTCTGACGTAGGAGATTTCATCTATCACACTTTGAGAAACACTAAGAAACTCTCCTGCTCTTGGTGTAAGAGTAAACATCTTTCTGATAAATTTCGGGAATTTTCAAGGGGGAAAAATTAGAGGATATTTTGGGCTTTTCAGAATAAAAATCATTTTTGTGATACCATACAGGGTGCATCGGTGGGTCTCAAATGGTAATAACATTCCAGATTTTTCTCCAGTACAGCTGATAACATGAAAGCTAACCGGAAATAGCTAAGAGCCGGCTCTAGAGCCAATGTTTAATTCCCAGGTAGGTTCCTCACCTGCAAATCGAGGAAAGCATTTCCTAGCCCTAGAGTTGTAAGGAGGATTGCACAAAGAGCACTCAGCACAGAGCTTGACCTTTTTACGCTGCTGCTACTAAAACGTAGAAGACGGTGGTTATATTGTGCGACCACTTTGAACTAGCTTTGAGGTCGCAATTATCACATACATCCAGCAGAGGGCAGTGGAGTAGCACGAGATTTGAGTACTTCGGCACGCTGGAGATGTCAGTTACCAAAAATTACAACTACTTTCTCCCGCTAACATTTATTTCAATGGAGAAAGAAAACAGATGATCCTGGGAAACCTCCTTTATATAATACTTGGGATTCTCATTCCTCTATTTGTTGAAGGACAGTGATGCATCCCGTTTACCCAGTCCGTGTTTCTTGTGATTATTAGAAGTTTCAGTCTTCTAACATAGTTTCTGTCCTTCACACTGACTTTTGTAAAATGAGAGAATGGACTAATTTATTGCTTTATTAATAAAATTATAATGCATTTAAAGTGTACCGCATGATGATTTCATAGGTGAAGACATTGTGAAAGGATTTGTACAATCAAGTTCACATATCCTCACCTCTCATTTTTAAAATGCCCCCTTTTTTTTTGGTGACAAAATCTAAGCATCTCTTACCTAAACTTTTATTACTGCTTCTTCTGTATCTTGTAGGTTTTGTTATGCTGTGTTTTCATTTCTGTTTGTCTCAAGGTAGTTTTTACATTTTATTCTGATTTCTTCTGTGACCCAAAATTTCAAGAGTGTGTTATTCAGTTCCCATGCATTTATGGATTTTCCATGTTTGTGGCTGTTAATAATCTAGTTTCCTTCCATCTGGTTGTAAAAGACACTTGGAATGGTCTCGATCTACTTAAATTTGTCGACTTGTTTTGTGACC